TTGGGGGCCCATCCCCAGTGAGGGGCGTGCAGGAGGCGGCCAACTGATGTTCTCTCTCATCGATGTTTCTATCTCTCCCTAAAATCATAAAGAAAAAAAATTAAAAGAAAAATATCCTCGAGTGAGGATTTAAAAAGAAAATATACATAAAAATTAAAAAAAGGAAACATTTATTGTGGAAAATTGGCAGAAAAAGCAGACGGTCAGATGGATGAGAAGCAGGAGTTGGTGCCTGTGCCTGGCAGGGGTCACCTGCAGCTCCCTTCGCCCTTCCTGCTTGTATATGAGCATGAGCTCGGAATGACACACGCCGATGCTTGGTCTGTTTCCCTTGGCTGGGGTGTTCCTCCCACTGGTACTGGGGTCCCGGAGCTGCCATGACAAATGACCACAAACTGGGGGCTTAGAACAGTAGCCGTTTACGCTCTCAGCCTGGAGGCCAGGCGTTCAAGATCAGGGTGTCAGCAGGGTTGGTTCTGAGGAGGAGGGAGCCCTGTTCCCGCTGGGTACCAGTTGATAGTGTTTCTGGGTCTTTGGGCGCCTTGGCCTGCAGAAGCCTTCCCCTGACCTCCGCCCCCATCTGCATGCAGTGTTTGCCCGGGGTGCATGTCTGTCCACATTTCCCCTTTTTGTGAGGACATCAGTGACCTCGTTTTAACTAGATTGCTTCTTTAAAGAACATCCCCCACCCCGCATCTCCCAATGCAATCACATTCCAAGATGCTGGGGGCTAGGACTTCAACATATGAATTCGGGGGACACAGTTCAGCTCACACCACCACTGAACCTGACACCACCCAGACGCACGCGGACCACCCCACACCAGCGCACACTGCGCATGCCTCCCTCGTGTTTACAAGAACTCCTCTGGGTGAATTCCCAGACGGGTGAGCCGTCATGAGGCTGCTGACACGCGTCCCCAGAAGTCTGTTTTCCCACACTCCTGCCAAGAATGTGACCACCGCATGCCAGCCTATCGCTACCACGACCTTGTTCCGGTTTGTGTCTTGCGGTAAGTGCGGGGAGGTGCGGTAGGTGTGGTGGAGGTGCGGTAAGTGCGGCGAGGTGCTGTAGGTGCGGGGAGGTGCGTGGGCAGAGCTGTTTCCCTTACAGGCGTATGGGGGTATTTTCTACACACAAGATCTGTGGTGAGCTCACAGGTGCAGAGGGGCCTCGGCCCTTCTCCAGAGCCCTGGTTTGGGGGGCATCCCTTCCAAGAAAACAAGCGGGCAAGCCCCCCGTGTTGTGGAGGAGCCCCTGAAATCCTAGCGGGTGGAATGGAGGTGGGTGGAGGGGAGGAGCTCTGGGCGCCAAACTCCGCAGCATGCCCAGGTCAGCCCTGGGCTCTCCCTGTGGCCTGTGCCCAGGAGCCTGGCTGGTGTGGGGTCTGGGAAGGAGCCATCAGACCTGGCCCCAGGAGGGACCACAGCCTGGGGAGGTGAACTGCAGGGCAGATCCTGCTCTCCGCCACTGGGTGGCACTGAGCTTCTGTGGGCCCCTCCCTTGGGTTGTCCCCTGGAGCTGCCCACCCACTGGTGGACTGGGGGAGGTGTGCCAAGCCACCCTTTAGGGTGGGCAGGTACACACCTGTGGGGTGGCGGGCTCCCAGCCCTCTGGCCTTCCGGCTGAGGGTGTGGGGGGGAGGGGAGCCAACACCTTGGGTCAGGAAGCTACGGCTTCAAAACCCCTCCTGGCTCCTCTTGTTAAAGGTTAAGAGCAAAACAAACCTGCCCTGAGCTGCCTGGGAGGGGCAGGGGCGTGGGGTCAGCTGGGTGGACACCTGAGCCCGGCCTGTCTCCAGAGGGCACACCTGGAATGTGGGCCGGCCCTGGGGAGGGGGGGCTCTGCCTGACAGAGCTCAGTGGGTGGGAGGGGGCATCCCCTCCAAGTGAGCTTACCACTTTAGTGATGCCCTGGTAGGCAGATGGGGAAACTGAGGCTGGGGCCAGCTGTTCCGTCCTCTACCCACCCCCCAGCTTTCTGGGCTCAGGGCCCCAACAGACACCGGGATGTTCACACCATGAGGGCAGTGGGGTTCATGCTGGGGGTGATTTCATCCAGAGCTGCCCTCCCCCAGGCTGATGCCCCTCTCTCCCTGCCTCCCAGTCCGCTGGTCGTGGGCTGTCTCACCACACCAGTACCTTGGGGGCACTCAGGTCCCCATCTTGCTCAGCCTGTGCCAGGTGCCAGCCCCCTCTACTCAGCCCCCAGCATGGTCACACCCTCATGCCCCGACTCAGCCCGCCAGCTGCCAGCCTCATCCGTCCTCTTAGGTGACTCCCAGGGCGGGCCCTGGGCTGGGAGGGCGGGGCCCAGGGAGCCTTAAAGAGCTGACAGTCCCCGCCCATGCCACTGCAGCTCCCACCATGGCTGAGACTGCCAAACTCCAGCTGTTCGTCAAGGTGCCGGGCTGCACTGGGGGGAGGCCTCCGGGAGGGGGTGCTGTTCGGGGCTCCGCTTTCTGGGGCGGGCTGAAGGGTGGATCTCCATGTCAGTGTCTGTGTTCCTTCTCTTGAGGTGGGTGGGCTCAGGCAGCCCTATGGAGGCTAAATAAAAGGGGGTTAGCCTGGGGGAGAGGGCCAGTGAGTTGTCCCCAAAAAGGGTAGGGGTGGCCCTGTCCCAACACCTAGCCTGGGCTCCTGGGCCCAGCCCAGACCTCTTGGAAATAAAACCCCTTAGTGGGGAGGCACCAACCAGGCAGCTTGGGGTGAATGTGGCAGGAGGGGGAGCTGAGCCAGACAGCCCCACTGGTGCCCAGATTTGTGGGGCTCTATATGAAGCTGTCAGGCCTTGGCCCCCTCCCCACTTTTGGGGCACAGGGTGGCTAGGGCTGCAGCCTTGGTGCCCAGTTGGCGTGTGAATCATTCCGAAAACAGCTCACTCGGCCTACTCCACCCTTGAGACCAGCCTGTGGGGCCTGGAGCCCAGGGCCCTGGCCTCTGCCCAGGCCCTTCAGATAAGGGTTGAGGGGTCAGGCCCCAGAGCCAGGGTCCCCCCCCACCTATGCCTGCTCTCATACTCCAGGCTCCCAGCAGCTCTGTGGCTTTCCCCACCGCCAGGGACAAAGTCAAGGGCCCTCACTGGCCACTTGCTGAGGCCATGCCCAACCTAGCCGGAGCCCTGGAATGGCTCCAGTCTCTTGGCAGTGGGAGGCCAGGTCCCACCCTGCCTGGTGGTGGGGTTTCTGGGTCTGCTCCCTGCCCTGACACCCCTCAACTCCACCCACCCCAGGCGAGCGAGGACTGTGAGAGCGTGGGACACTGCCCCTCTTGTCAGAGGCTCTTCATGATCCTGCTACTCAAGGGTGTGCCCTTCACCCTCACGACGGTGGACACTCGCAGGTGAGCCCCTCCACCCCAAGGGACCCCTGGGGGACCTCTGTCCCCTGGGGCTACTACCTCTCCCCCCTCGTGTCCGCAGGTCCCTGGATGTGCTGAAGGACTTTGCCCCTGGCTCACAGCTGCCCATCTTGCTCTATGACGGTGATGCCAAGACGGACACGCTGCAGATCGAGGAGTTTCTGGAGGAGACACTGGGGCCCCCCGAGTGAGAACCCAGCACAGCAGGAGGGCAAAGATGGGGCGCCCAGAAAGGACATGTAGGGCTGGCGGGGGCGGGGTGGTAGTGCAAGGGTCTGACCACAGTCCCTCCCGGCTCTCCTCCATCCCAGATTCCCCAGCCTGGCTCCCCGCTACAGGGAGTCCGCCACTGCGGGAAACGATGTCTTTCACAAGTTCTCCGCGTTCATCAAGAACCCGGTGCCCACGCAGGATGATGGTGAGAAGGGTCAGGGTCGGAAGGCTTGGCGAAGGTGAGGACAGCTGCCTCCCAGGCGAGGTCCTCAGTGAGCCCCCCTGCGCCCCCAGCCCTGTACCAGCAGCTGCTGCGCGCCCTCGCCAAGCTAGACGGCTACCTGCGCACGCCCCTGGAGCACGAACTGGCCCGGGAGCCGCAGCTGCAAGAGTCGCGCCGCCGCTTCCTGGACGGCGAGCAGCTCACACTGGCCGACTGCGGCCTGCTGCCCAAGCTGCACATCGTGGACGTAAGCGCGGGCTGGGCGCGGGCGGGAGGCGGCCCTCCGGGAGGCCCTGACCGAGCTCGCGCCCCTCGCCCGCCCGCCCGCAGACGGTGTGCGCGCACTTCCGCCAGGCGCCCATCCCTGCCGAGCTGCGCGGAGTCCGCCGCTACCTGGACAGCGCGCTCCAGGAGAAGGAGTTCAAGTACACGTGTCCGCACAGCTCCGAGATACTGGCGGCCTACCGGCCGGTCGTACACCCCCGCTAGCGCCCCCCTCCGCTGCCACCTCCGCCCACTCGTCCCATAAAGCCATCTCTGTTCCAGTGAGCGTGTTCGCACATCCCAGGGACCAGAGGGCCTGTGATTTTTGCCACCCCGAAGCCCCCACGTGGGCTGCTCAGTTCCAGATGACAGCTGGGATTGACAGGGGCAGAGGTCGGTGGGCGGGGCACAGCCCATCCTCCCCATTCATTAGGGATGGTGGGAACTGGATTGGGCTCCCAAACCAGTCAGGTCAGGGTGGAGCAGCAGGATGGCCGAGGAGGGTGGGGCGCAGAGCCTACCCTGGGCACCCTAGGGCTCCCTGCCAGTGGGCGGGGTGGCCCACATTCCTCGGCCCCACCCCTGGTGGCAGGCCACTCCCACCATCTTCCGAAGTACCTACTGTGTGCGTGGTATGGGGTACTCGAGGCCATGCTGGGTTGGGGTCTGCAAGAGGTGTGGCCCCATGGGGTGGACAAGTTCCAGCCCTGGGGAGCCCTGGCCCTGCCTTGCACAGCTGGGCAGGTGGGGAGAACCTGGTGGCTTCTGGTTTCTTACTGGAAGGGAAGAGGGGTGACATTATGGGGTGTAGAAGAAAGGGAAGGGCCCCGGGCTGGACCCTGAGCACAGGTGGGAGGGGCAGTGGGTGAGCACCTTTTGAAGCCCGGGTTGATGAGGGACTCTCCAGGACACCGTCTGCACCAGGGATCAAGAACCTGACACACTTGTTTACATCCTGTGGCCCAGCACCCAGATTGTAGGCAGGACTGGGGGGAATGCATGGCCCCTCTCCCCACCCGGCCCCCAAGAGCCAGAGCCTGGCCATGACCTCTGCCTGAGGAAGCCGTTTATTTGATGGGGAAGGGGCTCAAGAAGCAGGTTTGCTCCTGCCAGACAGCAGACGCACAGCGGATGTGGTGGGGTCTCGGGACTGCCCCTCTTCTCCCAGGTAAACGCCACACTTTGTGCTGTGCGGTCAGAGGTCGTCAAAATCTACACCACTGGCTGGCTTCTTACTGGAAGGGAAGAGGGGTGACATTATGTGTGTAGAAGAAAGGGAAGGGCCCCGGGCTGGACCCTGAGCACAGGTGGGAGGGGCAGTGGGTGAGCACCTTTTGAAGCCCGGGTTGATGAGGGACTCTCCAGGACACCGTCTCCTGACCCCAGGTCCGGGGCAGCCTCTCTGAGAATCGGGGTCTAGGGAAAGCAGGATGGGGGGGGGGTTCCTGAATACAGTAGGATCCCAGGACCACAACCCCTACTCCACATAGATAGAGCCTCTCTTTGGAGCTTGAGGCTTGTTCTGGGGAAACTGAGTCACAGGAATGAGCACAGCCCCAACTCCAGTCATAGGTGAGAGGCCTTACCTGGTAAGAACTGCTGAGGCCCTACTCGCCGAGGGCTCTTCCTGGGGCTGGCAGCTCTCTCTTCCACAGCTGGGGGGGAAAGCCAGGAATGGAGGCACAGTCAGAGGGACCCCAGCGAGGCTGCCGTGTGCCCGTCCCCCTGCCCCCGAACCTACCTGCCAGCTGCCGCTCCAAGCTGCACACACGCTCGGCCAGACCCAGGGTCAGTGCCTGTATCCTGGAGGCTGCCTCTGGGCCTGGCACCTTGGAGAGCTCAAACTCCAGAGCAGAGGGCCCCCCAGAAAGGGCCAGGGATGCTCCCACCTCCTGCGGAGTGAAAGTCACAGCTTGCTGCTTGAAGGCGGCCCTGGGGAAGGAGACCGCGGCTGAGTGCTGTGGCCGGACCTATCAGCCCCGTTCCTACCAGCCCAGGGCTCACCTGAACTGGGGAGTGATGTCCTCCGCCGCACTCAGGCCCAACCGAGTTTTCTACAAGGCACGGGGACTGGTCACAATCCGCCCGAGACCCCAGAACGACTGGCGACACCCCAAACCTGCCCGACCTAGAGCCACCCAGGACCCCAAGGCAATCTTAGGATGACAGCTACCGAGCCCCGGAGAGAGTGTCCGGACCCTTCCGGGGAGTCCAGACCACCCCACTCCGGCCCATGGGCGGCCCGCACTGCAGGGAGGGGTGCTGGGGCTGCGAGGCCCGCCAGGAGCCCGGTTACCCACGAGGGCCGCAAGGCTGTCCGGGGAGAAGCGGGTGCTCCAAAGCTCCGCGGCGTCCGTCACGCTGTGGGGGAGGGGCTGTCAGGCGGCGCCGCCCGCAGAGCTGCCCGCGCCCCCCTCGCCCCGGCCCCGCCACTCACTAGAGGCTGAAGCCGCCTGGGCCCCCGGCCCCTTTGGCCTCCTCCTCGCAGTAGCACACGAAGCGCGGGGGCCCGGGGCCCGGCGGCAACGTGCAGAGCGGCACCGAGAGCGGCAGCGGAACCATGGCAGCCGTGCGAGCCCAGGGGCCGGGACGGCGGGCGCGGTGGGCGGGCCTGGGGCGGGCCCGGAAGGCCTTGGCCTGCGCACCGCTGACGCTGCCGGAGCCGGGCAGGCGGAGCTTAGGACGCCGGGCGCCGCTATCTGGGCGGGGCTTAGCCACGGGGCGGGGTTAGGTTATAGGGCGAGACCACGTGGGTGGGCGGAGCTTAGGGCGCAGGCGTGGCTCCTGGATGGCCTGTCTGAGCCCGGGCTGCACGGTGCTGTTGGGGCTCCAGCCCTCACACCCTCCGAGAGGCTTTTGGGGCCTTACTCCCCTGGGTGCCTGCCACCCCCGTGAACCCCTTCTTCGCGGGCAGATCCCTGTCCCGGGCCCGGCCCTGTGCCGCTCCGCCCCGCCCCTTGCTGGTCCCTGCGGCCTCCAAACCCAGTCTCTGGCCCTCGCGGAGATATTTCTGGCGTCGTCTTTAGATACAAACGCAAAGCTTCGTAATGCTGAACAAGTCAGAATACAAAAGTGAATCAAATATGGCAACCAGGGCAAAAAGCTTCCTTCACTCACCCACCCGTGGCTCTCTGTGCTGTGTCCTAGGCCTTGAGCGCACCTTGACCAGCAGGCAAGGCCTCTGAGCGCCTTGTGACATCTGGGCTTGAGAGATCTGAAGGGATGGCCAAATACACAGGTGAAACACGAACCTGAGGCCTTGCTAAGTGCCCTGCGAACTGAAGGGAGAGAAGATGGAGCGCTCAGGATAGGGGCATCCCAGGCAGGGTGCACCTGCGGCAGAGGCTCCACAGTCCTGCCCAAGGCTTTGCAGGAGGGCTGAGGGCAGCGGGGGTTGTGTAGGCTAGGCCAAGGTATCTTTGTATGCCTGCAGCCAAGCCAGCCTCATCTCCCACTTTCTCCTGGCTCACAGCCTTCAGCCCCCCCCCCCCATGAGGCCTGCCTCAGGGCCTTTTCACAAGCCATTGTCTGTCTGGCATGCCCTCTCCCCAGACTCATACACTTCCTTCAGGCCTTTACTCAGAAGTCGTCTTCCCAAAGAGGCCTCCCCTAGTCACTTTATGTAAAATGTCAACACCCTAGTCCCCTAGTCACTTTATGTAAAATGTCAACACCCTGCCCCACAACTCCTGTCCTGTTTTATCTTCTTTTCACCCACACACACCACTATGTAAAATACATTCTGGTTTACTTACTGTGGCAGCAGCCTTTGAGATGGCCCTTAACTATCCCCACCCTTTGTTGACACTTTTGTGGGTCCCTCCCCTGAGTGGGGGCCACATTAAGCAACTTGCTTCTAACCAATAGAATAGGGCAGCGGTGGTGGGCCGGCACTCTTTCTCCTTGAATTGCTCCCATGACATGAGGCAGCCCTGTGGAGACACCCAGGGGACAGAGGACCGTGGCCTGCCAACAAGCATTGAGGGACAGGACGTTCCCAGCTGAGCCTCGGCCGGCAGCTTGATGCCGCCTCAGGGGATGTCTCATGCCAGGGGCCTTGGTTGCCCAGGCCAGACTCCTGACCCCAGAAACTGGGAGGTAACACAGGCTTGTTGTTTGAAGCCACCAAGTTTTGGGTAGTTTGTGTCTCAGGAGCAGGGGACCAAGACACTCACTTATCCTGTTTATTACCCAGTCCTGTCTTATTTGCTCTTGTGTCCTCTTGTGCTCAAACTGGGCCTGGCACATGGCGCTAGATGTCCAATCAGTATGGCGAAGAAACGAACACAGCTGTTGGAGGGTTTGCGCAGGGGTGGGGTGGGCAGAGGCACGCTGACGTGTGTGTGTATGTGTGTGTGTGTGTGTGTGTGTGTGAGGCCCCCGTTGAGTGCCAAGCGGAGAGGGGAGTGAGGCTGCTGGGTCCCTCGGGGCAGAGCTGATGGAGGTGGGCCAGGGGCTCAGAGTGAGATGGAGAGGCGACGCCCTTCCCCAAGACCACTGGCTGGGCCAGGTTTGGAGAAGACGTGGGGGCCCTGTGTGTCCCGGGAACTCGGAGTGCCGCTGGGTGAGGGACGGAGATGGAGAAGGTGCTGTGCACACAGGACTCTGGCGTAGTGGGAGGAGCAGGTTGGGGCGTGCCTGTGCAGTCTCCAGCCCTCAGGAGTGCCTCAGACGTTAAACCGCCCGGGCACAGTGCTTGGGCTCGGGGAAATGTCTCCAGGCAGAAAGTAGCAGGCTGACCGTGCCCCCAAAGGGTGTTGGGTCCCCATCCCTGAACTGTGCATGTTAGCTTGTCTGGACTAGGGGTCCCTGCAGATGCAGTTAAGTTACAGATCTTGAGATGGGGAGATGCTCCTGTATCTGAAGGGCCCTGAATGCTGTCACAAGAGGCAGAAGGAAATTTCACAAAGAGGAGGAGCAGCCATGTAGCCACTGGAGGCAGAGGCTGGAGTGAGGCAGCTGCCAGCCCCAGGTGGTGGCAGCCCCCAGAAGATGAAACAGGCAAGGCAGGGTTGCCACCAGAGCCTGCGGAGGGGGCATGGCCCTGCTGACACCTGATTTCAGCCCAGGGAAACCGATCTTGGACTTCCGGCCTCAACACTGTAAGAGAATAAACGTACGTTGGAAGCCACCAAGCTTGGATCCGTTTCCTACGGCAGCCACAGGAAACTCATACGAGGCCTGAAACAAAAACTGGTTCCAAAACATGGTGAGGAAACTGCAAAATCAAAGTGAAAAAAATTACACAAATGTCTAGAAAATGTAACAAAACCGGTCTCCGACACCTCGGGTCTTCTGCAAGGGACACTCCTATTCCGTGTGGGCTGCAGGTACCTGTTGCTCAGGGCACGAGGTAGGTGGGCCTGAAAGGCGGGCCGGGAGAGGGTCTAAGACGGCCTGCAGGCCGCCTGAGCACCTGGTCAGTGTGTGAGGGAGGAAGGGAGAAAGGGCACTGAGCAATGCAAGCTGAGCAACAGAGAGGGCACAGGGAGCAGCTAGCCAGGTCAGAGGGCAGCCGGGGCTTGGGGTCCCAGAGGTCCAAGGAAATACCACTCAGGGTGGTATTTGGGCAAAAGATTTCAGAGGAGTGGAGCGAGCCAGCCAAGCAGAGAACTGGGAGATCATTCCAGGCAGGGGCAGCCTGTGCAAAGGCCCTGAGGTAGGCATGAGGCTGGAATGCTTAGGGACATGAGGAGATGAATAGGGCTGGAGTGAAGGGGGATAGGCAGTGGGGTTAGAGGAGGGTCGACCAGGGAGGCCCTTGTTGGCCACCTAAGGACTTTGGACTTACCTCTCAGTGAGGTAGCACCCCTGGGGGGCATTGTGAGCAGAGGCAGCATGAGCGGACAGACCTGCCGGGTGAAGAACTGGTCGAGGGCTGCTTCCATGATGCGGAGCAGAGTGATCCGCATGTGTGAAAGGGCTGCCCCACTCCAGAAGGGAGCCCCCCTCTGAGGCGAGGGTGTCCATGAGGTCATGGAGGGCAACTTGCATCTCCCTACTCCAGATTCTTCTCAGGGGACTGGAGAGGGAACAGTTACCAGGAGAAAACAGGGGACCAGAGCCCTGTGGGGGCTGGGAGCCAAATGCAAGCCCTTGTTCGCCAGTCTCCGGAGCGCTGGCCTCCCCAACTCTTGGTCTTGAAGTCCTGCTGTTGCCTCATGATTCCTTCTGCCCCTTCTTCTCTTGGTCCACGTGGAAACTGAATGGCAACCGATAGATCGATCAATGGATCCATCAACTGATTTCTCACTGCAGCTCAGATGGTATCTCTCAGCAGACACCTCACAGAAGGGAGTAGATGGTGCCGCGGCCACGTGGGTAGCTCCCAGCTCCCAGCTCGGGGCAGGGCTGGCTGCCGGGTTCCCACACCCCCTCCCTCCCCAGGGCTGCCGTTCCAGACTGGTGTCAGAGGCAAAGTATAAGGAGCCATCGTCACCCAGATAGAGCAACGATCAACATTTTGTTTTCTTTATTGATTGTTTTAGAAAAAGAGGAAGTGAGAGGGAGAAAGATATAGAAACATCGATGAGTGAGAACATCGATGGGCTGCCTCCTGCATGCCCCCTACTGGGGATCCACATCAGCCGGGCTCCACATTTTGCCTATTTGCATCTGGTGTTATTTTTTTTCTGAACTATTTACAGATGGCTGTCCTAGAAAAACCACACCAGTCAGTTATTTTAGCAGCAGAAATGGGTTTATTTGGGAGCAGCAAAGAACTGTAATTTGAAACATGCAAGCTAAGGAAAAACCGTGGGCCAGTCCGGGGACATAAAGAGGGACCTTCTCGGAGGGGAGGCAAGGGGGCGCCGGAGGGGCGGGGATAGAGGCCGTTGGGGGTGGGGTGAGGGCGGGGGCAGGGACAGAGGCTGTCGGAGGGGCGGGGACAGAGGCCGTCGGAGGGGCGGGGATAGAGGCCGTTGGGGGGCGGGGCTGGGGCGGGGACAGAGGCTGTCGGAGGGGCGGGGACAGAGGCCGTCGGGGGGGCGGGGACAGAGGCTGTCGGAGGGGCGGGGACAGAGGCTGTCGGAGGGCGGGGCTGGGGCGGGGACAGAGGCTGTCGGAGGGGCGGGGACAGAGGCCGTCGGGGGGGCGGGGATAGAGGCTGTCAGGAGGGGCGGGGACAGAGGCTGTCGGAGGGCGGGGGCTGGGGCGGGGGGGACAGAGGATGTCGGGGGGCGGGGACAGAGGCCGTCGGGGGGCGGGGACAGAGGCCGTCGGGGGCGGGGACAGAGGCCGTCGGGGGGCGGGGACAGAGGATGTCGGGGGTAGGCAGGGGCGGGGACAGAGGCTGTCGAGGAGGCTGGGATCGGGACTTTTCATTGGCTGGGCTGTGAGCGTCTCATTGGCTGAGCCCGGTGGGAGAAAACCGTCCCGGGGCAGTAACGCCGAAAACCTCTGTTGGAGGCGCAGGTGTCCCTCCCGGTCGGGTGACTGCGGCTGAGCGCGAGGGGTGAGAACTCCCCCTGCAGGCTCTTCCCCGCTGCAGTCGGGGTTGAGGTTTATTCATTTCCACAAGCGCTTCGGCCGTTTGCCCCGCAAATTCTTCAGATCACATCTAAAGAACAGCGAGGTTGCCCAGACGGAGCACAAGGGCAGGACGGAGCTCTGTGCCCCTCTCCTCCCCTCCCCCCGTGCTGGGCAGGGGTCCGGGCGCAGAGTCCCCACAGCCCGCACGTTGCCGGGGTGGGTGGTCAGGGGAGCAGTGGGGGCGTGGAAGGGGCTCCTGGGCACAGAAGCGCCAGAGACAGCCCCCCTCCTGGCACTGGTTCCGGAGGACCCAAGGGCTGAGCCAGCCGCTGCACCCTCGGAGCCCGGCACACACTTGGCGTGGAGTCCTGTCCAGTGGGCACTGTGCCCTCCAGTCAGCTGCATGCAGGTCTGGGGGCCAGGGCACTGCCCTAGTCCCAGTGCCCCTGGTCTGCGGAGGTCCAGGGGCTCCAGGGAAGCCCCTGCGACCCTCTGCCCCTCCGTTTGGAGGAGGCTGCCCCAAGTGGAGCGGAGCCCCAGCCCCTCCTATGCCCACCACCCAGAGGGGCTGGCAGAGCAGGGCCTTGCCCAGCAAGGGGTCCTGCCCAGGGCCCTGGAACTGACCATGGCTGCAGGTCCTTCTCTGGGTGGGTCCTGGGCCACCCCTACTCCTGGCCACCTGGCCTCTCTGCCTCATGCCCTAGCCCCCCACAAGAAACACAAGACCTGCTGTCATTTGGACGTTATTTATTGTACTGGGGGTGGTGGCGGAGAGAAGCAGTCAGCACTCCTGGTTGCACCCCTCACTGCAAACAGGGGAGGGAGGGGTGGCAAGAACGGAGGGGTGAGGGGGGTCCAGATCCCCTCTGCCACAGACAGGAGGGTCTCAAGGAGACGCTGACTCCTGCCTGGGGGTCAGAACTAACTGGATGTGCAGGTGGCTGCCACCTCAGCCAGGCCTGGAGCATGCGGTGGGGTGGGGGTGGGTGGTGTCAGGAGCACCCCCTTGGGCAGGTGAAGTGCCAAGGGGTCACTGAGACCACGGGCATCTTCATGTTGTCCTTGGAGTCCAGGAAGCCTGGGTCACTGGATGGCCCCCAGCCACGTACCGGGTGCCCCGGAACTGTAGGGAGGGTGCAGGGAGAGACGCAGGCAGCCCCCGTGCCCAAGTCCACCCTGACCCAGCGTGAGGACAGCTGTGAGCTGTCCCCACTTGAGGCACAACTTAGAGGCCAGCTGAGGGGCCTGCTGCCCTCCCCGCTCACCCACCCCCAATGGAATGAGGCAGGAGCGTGGGGTCTCTCCCTTCCCCATACACGCTGAGCCTGGATCAGAGCGTGGTCAGGGGTGGGCTGCCCCTGGCCCTCCAACTGTTCTGGTCACAAGGAAGCCAGGCAGCTGGGACCTAGATGGAGAAGCAGTGGGGAGAGGGCGTCCCTGAGGAGGGGGTGCCTGGGCCACCTGGCTGGATGGGGCCCTGGGCCTGGCCGGGGACCCTGAGCCGGGCAAGAACGGAGCTGACCGGCAGTGTCTGCAGCCCTGTGGAGGATGGTCCTGGGGGTGCACAGGCGCCCAGGGGCAGGGCCTTTATGCCCACAAGATGCCTGGGGAGCTCACCTGCCACCTGGCTCAAGGTCAGGGTGCCCTGCAGCGAGCACCCTGGCCCATCTCCAGTGTCTCCTCTGGGGGGGTGGCCAGACGCTCCGCAGCAGGGGAAGGGTAGTCTTGGCAGGCCCTCTGGGATATTGGTGCCCAGCCTTCAGCTCAGGCATAGCCCCTGGATCCCCTCCTCCGAGAAGCCCTCCCGGAAGCTCACCCTCACCTCCGAGCCTCACAACCCCTCTGCAGGGCCCGGCCTGGTGGGAGCTGAGTGGACTGCACAGGGCGAGCAAGGGGCCCGGACAGGGCCTGAACATGGCCCCCAGCGGGAACCCAGGGCGGAGAACAAGAGGCAGGGCGGGTGGGAGACCACACTCCTGCAGGCGTTGGATTTGGTGCCAGGAGCCTGGCAGATGAGCAGGGCAGGGTGCTCTTGAGACCCAGGCCAGAGGCCAAGTGTCCTCGGGTACTCGGGTAGCCGGAGGGGATGGAGGGTGGCCCGTCCAGCCCACTTGGTCAATCTGTCCCGGGAAAAGGGGGCAGACACCAGCCACCTTCCTCCTGGTCCCTGGAAAACCCGACCCCCGCCCAGCCCCAGTGTGCTAATCCCACGCCTTCCGAGCTGCCTGGACCCCAAGCTGCCCTGACCTTGGGCCTTGCCTGGCAGGGAAGGGCAGGCTGCTGCTGGGGGCACGTCCCCTAGCTGTCCTGCCTTCTGACCGGCCACCTCCCCTGCCCCACCTGTGCCCCAGGAGGCCCTGAGGAACAGAGAGGGGCGGGGGGACAGGGTCCGGAGCCAGTGGGGGTGCTCAGGAGCCCAGAGAGCAGGTGGGGCAGGCCCCGGGGCAGCGCAGACGGCGGACTGCAGGACAGACAGACAGACAGCAGTCAGGCTGCTGACTTGCTTCTGGACTTTATTCTCAGAGGCAGCATAAAGCTCGGGGGCGGAGTGGTGGCCAGGGGGCCAGGGCTGGGTCTCGGGGTCTCGGAGGAGAGCGGAGCAGGGCAGCATGGCCAGGTCCTGAGGGCTGGGGTCACCTGCTGAGAGAGCGGACCGCAGTGGCGCAGGCAAAGGGCCCCTCGCTGCCCCGGGGTGTGCAGACTGCCCAGGGTCCAGGCAGCAGGGGAGTGGACGCCCCTAGGGCCTCATCCCATGACATTTCTCAGCAAAGGGCACCGGCTCCTCTGCCCTCCTCACCCGATCCTGTCCCAGCCTCAGTGCACCCCGGTGCAGCTCCCTCCCCCTTGGGCGCCCTCTGCCCGGGACCTCCCCTGCATGGGGGGTGGGAGGCCAGCCCGCAGCCCACTCACCTACTGGTGCCCCTCCACGCACTTATCTGCCAAGAAAGAATCGGAGGGAGGAGGGGCAGTCAGTGTCCTGGGCCAGGGCCACCTCCCCCACCTGGGCTACCTAGGGAGTTGGTTGACCCCCAAAACTGCTCCTCTGTCTCTCCCACCCCTCTCCCAGACCCTGCACCTACAGACAGAGGGGTTCTGTCCCCACGTGTCACAGAGCAGGCTGCCTGACCCTCCAAAGCCAATGGGCCCTGAGGCCTTGGGGAGCCGCGTCTGAGCCCCAATGTGCTGTACCCCGCCTGCCCCCACACAGTGCCTGTCCCCACACAGGTTGTTTGTAGTGCCTGCCCCCCACTAGGCCGGGGACACCTGTACCTTGGGGGCTGACCCAGGACCTGGCACATACTTTGGGTGCTTGGTGAATGTGGGGAGGGGGGGTTTCTAGCCCCACCCCCCCAACTCCGGGGCTACAGGCCAAGGTCATGCGGGGAGTACAGCCCACCCCCACTCCAGAGGCCACGAGGCAGCTCCGTGGGCAGTCTGGTCAGATGAGCTCAGACCTCAGCTGCCCCTGAATCAGGAGGCTGCGTATCTGCCTCGAATCTGATCTTAATCCCAGCATCAGACCAGGGCCCTCACCGGTCTGGGGCAGGAACACAATGGTGTCCTCTGTGAACCCCTGGGCCTCGGCGAAGGTCGTGAACTTCTCCTTCACATCAGCCTTCGGGGTCTGGGTCCGACCTGGGCAGGAAGGCAACGGGTGCTGTCTGCTCTGCCCCACTCAGGGAGCCCCCCCAGGCCAGGCTGGGTCCCTGGGAGGGCGGGTGCGTACTGTAGAGAGTGGCCAAGTGGAAGTCGTGGTCCCGGGTGCCCGAGGTGTAGAGCAGAGCGTAGTCTTCGTAATCCGTCTCCACCACCCGCACCTCCTGCGTGCTGCCCAAGTCTGGGAACCCACGAGAGGACCCCGGTGGGTGAGCCGCCCCCAGACCTCTGGCCTTGGGAGGGGGCCTCGACGCTCCGCCTCTGGCTGGCTGCCTTCCCGCTCCTCCCCAGCCCGGGCAGGTGGCCAGCCCCCTGCTCCCAGCCTGCACAGCCTGTGAGCTCTGCGGGTGGGGCCTGTGCTCCCAAAACAGGAGTCCTGGGGGCCAGCAAACTGGGCTCAGGAAATGGGGCGATCATGGTGTAGCTGCCAACCCTTTGGCTGGCCAGGGAGAGGGAAGATTTCCCAGCCGGGAAGCCATCTTTAGTGGCCCCCACGGCAGGGGTGGTCCTGTGTGTCCTGCCTGGCCAGCAGGGAGGAGGCAACTAAGGTGTGGAAAATTCCACGCAGGGGCAGGGAGGGGCCTCCCAGGTCCCCTGCACATGAGCAGATCCAGGCCGCGCACTGGACTTGCTGACGCCGGTGGAGAGGCCCTCACCCTGCTCATGCTAGGGGTTCACCCAGAGTCACCCACAGCCGTGTGCCGGGGGGCCACTCACGGAGACTGGTGTAGCTGTAGCAGCCTGGGGGGCCCGCTGGCCACAGCAGCAGACTGCGCGTCTCACACTGGTCTTTCCTATGGGCAGGTCACCTTGGGTCAGGATCAAGTCCGGGGTACCCCTGACCACAACCACGGGGGGGGGGGGTGCTCTCAGCCCCGGAAGGCCGCCCGCTGTCCCACCTGAGGAAGGTGGTGGTGAGGTTGAGCCCGCCGCCGCTCCCGGTCGGGGCTATCACCGAAGTGCACATGGTCAGAGCCGCCTTCTTCTCCCGGAACCAGCTCGAGTTGGAGGCGAGGCCCGAGGTGAACCAGCGCCCCAGGAACTGCGGGAAACGGCCCCTGCCCAGTCGGCCAGGACCCTCTCCGGGCAACAGGGGTGGACCCCCTGCCCCTCGCGCCTGTCTCCAGTCTGCCCCCGCCCTGCCGCCCCTCCCCGGGGCAGGTCCGTCCCGCCTCCTCCGCCCAGCCCGTCGGGGGGAGCGTGGACCGGGCAGCTGAGGGCACCGGGCCGTTCCTGCAGGGGGTGGGGCGGCTCAGCCTCCAGGCGTCTGCGCCGCTCGTGGGAAGGGGCGCAGGGCTGGGCGGGAGGACCAGCACCGCCGCGTCCCCGCGTCCCGAGCGTGCGCGCCGCCGGCTGTGTGTGCGGGGCCGTGCGCCACCCCGTGCGCCCCCTCCATCAGCCTGCTTGCGCCGGCTGTGTCCCAGGATTCGTCCTGAGACCCAGGTGTGGGACGTGTGCTTGTTTCCTCTAAGTCGTGAGCTCAGGGGAGTGACCCTTTGGGTGGCGCAGGCACGCCGTGGCCCCATGCCCGCGTGTGCCACGTGCGTCTGTCACAGGTGCATCCCTGCGGGTCAGCGATACCCACCTCCTCCTCCTCGGCTGGGGAACTACCGGCCTGGCCTGTGCAGGTCAGCCTCCTCCTCCTGCTCAGCTCCCTCCTCCCAGGGAGACAACGCCAGGCCAGGGAGCACCCCTGTCCCCTGACTGAGCCCTGTCCCGCCCTGGGGTCCGGGCAGGGGAGCACCTCACCTTGTCCTGTTGGAAGTTGGGCTGCAGGGAGACCTGGGCCTCAGCCGCGGGCTGCAGGACCCCCAGGACCCCTGGCAGGACCAGCCCCATCCACAGTGTGTACAGAGCTGCCATTGTCCTGGAGCCGGGCAGGCGTCCGCGGCCTGGTGCCAGCAGCGTGGACAGCGTGAGGAGGCGGCAGGACTAGCGGGAACCACTGGGGAGACCCCTATTTATGGGCCCGGCTTGGCCTCCACCCAGGGCCCAAGGACAGCCCACTGGAGGCTCGTGATGCCAGAGTGGGGAGGGTACGGGCACAAGCCCTGCTGCAGCCTCACCCCCACAGGGCGACTTATGTAAGAGGCTCTAATCAGGACAGGCCGGGCCCTGCCAAAGGGGCTGAGGCCGCTCATGGCTGGTCCCTTTCCAGAGCCAGAATCCACCCAGCGGCCCAGATGGGAGCAGGGGACATAGCCTTGGCACTGCCCTGCCTCTGGGGCCTCGTCGCTTCCCACCTGGGGCTGGGCCCCCCGGTAAGCCCAACCATCATTCTCTCTCCAAGCCTGGTGACCCCGGGAGGGGACTCCAGGCCCCCGCTGCACTGCATGAGTTAGGTCCTGAGAGGCCCAGCGAGCTGGGTGACCAGCAACCCGAGCTAAGGTACAGAGCAGACCTGCTGGGGGCCGAGCCTGAGTGCCATGCCTGCGGGCACAGCTCCCCCAGTGCGTCCGCTGGGGCTCGGCTGGGGGCCCAGACACCCTTCTCAGCCTAGGGCCACTCTGGCCCCTCCCCCTCGAGTGTAGCAGCCGCAGTGTCCTGTCCAGGAGTCTGGGCCAGCAGCACCCCAGGGGACTCAGGCTGGTCCCGTTACCTGGGGCCCCGAGGCCAGGACCACTCACAGCTGCGGTGTCTCCCCAGCCCGGGGCCTGAGGGCAGCTGCCCACCTTACAGAGAGGGCTGCCCCATCCAGAGGCCTCCTGGGTGGTGACCGCCTGTGAGGCCCGAGGTCCTGGGACTGCCCCCTGTTCTCCGATCCTGCCTGAGGCGACTCCGGTGGGGGCCTTAGCAGGGCTGAGTGAGGTCGACGGCTCTAACCGGTGTTGGACGCGCTGGGTGCGGGCGCCCGGGCGAGGGGCAGCCTGCGCTCTGACCCTGGGGTGGGGAGTGAGGCTGGGGAAGGGGTGCCGGTGTGCGGTGAGGACACCGGAGCTGCGGCTGTGGCTGGTCATCCCCAAACACAGGCCCAGACCACTGGGGGGGGTCAGGCTCCTGCCCCAGGCCTGGCACCTTCTGCCCGGAAGCTGGATTCTTGGCAGCCCTGGCTCTGGCCTTGGCATGGCCCCGAGGCTGGCTGGAAGTGGTCAGGGGGAGGCGTGGGGTCAGGACATCTCCCTGAATGGGACCAGCATGGGCACTGGCACATACCTAGTGGGGGCGGGGGGTGGGCACCAGGCCCACAGGGGCCTGTGATGTTGGGGCGCCTTCACCTCAGCCCACGTGGGCTTCCTGGCCCTGGCTGGGACCCTGCTGCAGCTTGGTTGGGCACCCGGCTCAGCCACAGAGGAGCCAGGGCACAATTTGGGGGCTCAGGAAGTGGGTGCCCAGGCAGCTGCCCCCTGAGAGTCTTATTTATGGGTGTACCCGATGCCAGCACCGCCCCCAGCCGGTGATTCATCTCTTGCCAGGTCCCGGTAGGGTTGGGATGTTGAGGTGGCTCCTGCTGAGACACCGGTAGGATTCCTGCCCCTTTCTCCCCCACCCCTGGGGCTGTGCGAGATGCAGGCCCAGGGGAGAGGTGGGCACCCCCAGAGCCCCTGGCTCATCGGCAGGCACCGGGACTCTGCACTTGGTGCCCTGTGCTCCACTCTGGCCTAAGCCCTGTGGATGGTCAGCGGTCCGAGCCGAGCAACCTCCGCCGTCCAGGGGCTCCCGCTCAGCCCATCTCAGGGGGGGGGGATGTGCTGGACATTGGGGGTGTCATGGCCCCTCCTGCACCCTCAGAAAGCAGAGATGCTGGGTCCTGGTGCTACTTCCTGGTCTCACAGGCTCAGGGCGAGCTGAGGACGGACGGGCCCAGCCCGGGAGGGCAGGGTGCCGGCCCTGAGCCTGAGTCCGATGCTGGCCTCTGAGGAGCCCACGTGAGGCCCGGTGGAGAGAGAACCCCACGAGGCTGACCGGGAGTACCCCCTCGGGGCAGCCCGACCGGGCCTGTGAGCTGAGCTCAGCGGCCACGCGGAGCTGAGGCTGCGGTTTCCTGGGACGCATCGGCGGGGGCTGGGCGGGAAGGCCTTCCGTCGGCCTGCTGCTGGGCACTGGGATGCAAAGTTGGCCCCCAGGCCTTCCCCTGCGTCTGGCAGGCAACGGGGAGACCAGCCCAGGCCCAGGCCGCTGCCTGAGCTCAGCCTGGGGGTGGGGCGGAAGTGACAGGTCCCAGGCCCGGTGCAGTGTCCTGCAGGGATGGTGTGCCACCCAGGGCCTGAGGCTGTCTCTATGCCTGGTGGCCTCTTGCTGACCTGTGGAGTGTCTGCTGGCCTTGGGTGGGACACATAGCTCCCCCTAGCCTCAGGAAGTGGCTTTGAGGGACCCTGAGCAGACCACAGGACCCCACCCCACCCCGAGATGCTCCTCCATGGGAGGTGTTGGTGAGACTGGCTGATGAATCCCCAAAGGATTTTAAGTTGGGAAGGGGTTGTGGAGACGCTGCTAGAATATTCTTCAAAATCCCTGAAGGCCTGTCCCCTCCCCAACTTCCAGGGCTGTGCCAGGTGGACAAATGACCATCGCCAGGTGTCGGCGGAGGCCACCCTGACGCGGGGGAGGCAGTGTAGACATGCCCGAGGCGGGGTGCGAGGGCTGCAGCATGAGAACCTCAGGCTGGTGGAGGGGGGCAGCCCGCTCAGGCCCCCTAACTGCAAGAAGCTCTCCCCACCCCCACCCCCAGGAGAGCCCCTCTGTGATTTAAGGAGACAGCCCTGACTCGGGTGCCCAGCATCACGGCCTCTGGGACAGATGGCTCCCAGAGCGTCCAGACCGACCATGGGTGGTCGGGGCTAAAGCATGTCGCCACCTGTGTGAGGGCTGGGTGGGCCCCAGGCAGGCTGCGCTGCGTGGGCGGGGCTTGCTTGCCCAGGCCCCGTGGGGTCTCCTGGCCTCCATGCCAGGCTGTCAGGCTGGCCCAGCAAGGGGTCTGCAGGGTCTCCTGGTCCCTACCTAGGTGTGCCTCTCAAACCCTTTCCTGGGGACACACTGCATGCACACACCCATAAGTAGTCATGCACAGGTACACACCTACATACCTGTGCACACACCTATGGGGCATGCACACCTGCACATACATACACCTGCACACACCTATGGGCATACACACCTGCACAAACACACCTGTGCACCTACACACACACCTGCACACACACACCTATGGGCATACACATCCTCACATGCACACACCTGCACTCACCTGTACACACACCTATGTGCACACATGCATGGGGCTCCTGTACATGGCTGCTCCATCCTTCAAAGACACCAGTGCCGGGCTACAAGGTCTAATCGAGTCAGGACCACGGCGGGCTTCCTAAGGGCCCGAGCTGGAGGCAGGGCAGTGCTGTCATGTCCCTCAGCCCCTCCCAGCCCCTTCCCCAGAGCTGCTGCAGACCCCCTTTCTCCCTCCCTCCACCCTCCTCCCCTCCCCTTCCTGGAAGCCACTGTCTCTTTCCTTTACCTGTTCTCTGGCTTTGCCCCTCCACCTTCACCACCAGCAACCGCGTCTCTCCTTGACGTTCACCCAAGGCTTTGTCTCCTCCCCACCAGGCTAGGCACCTGTCTGGGTACCTGTTGAAGGGGTATGCAGAGGCTCCTCCCCTCTCCAGATAGAGGAAATGTAGGGGGGGGGTCCTTGCTTCAGTGTACCCCTTCCCGATCCCCAGAAATAAGCAGGTCTACCAGGGGTCAGGGCTCTGAGCATCTTTATCTGCAAAACCAGCCCTGGAGGCCACACCCCGGCCATGCCCAGGATGCCCCACTCTGTCCTGAACCCCAGCAGACTCCGCCAGAGCCGTGAGCTGGGCACAGACATGGCCATCCTCAGATGGCTCTAGGAGAGCCTCTTGGGCATCCCTGGACCTGGAGTCACCCTGCCCACTCCGCCCCGGGTAAGGGCCGGGCCAGTGGAGGGCGACACAGGGAGCTGTGGACTCTCTCGAGGGTCCCATGTGCACGGCACCGTGGGACCTGGAGACACACTGGGCAGCAACCCCCCAGAGTCCCTGAGGTCGCTCTGAAAGGTGAGACCTGAAGCAGGCCCCTGAGATGCAGTTGGAGATGGATGTGTGGGGGGACCAGAGACAAGGCCAGTCGTGTCCCCCAGAGTGGGGTCTGCTTCCAGGGACAGCGCCAGACCTCCCACCAGCCTCCCTGCCAGCCTAGAGGCAGCCCAGCCCTCCTGATGGGACAGAGCCAGGGAACCTCGCTGAAGTGCATAATTGCTGTGGGGGACATTTGCTCTCCAGGGTCTGAGTCCTGGTAACTGATAGGGTGGAAAATCCCAGCTCCCAGTTAATCTGCACAAACCTATGAAATAAGATAAACAAAGTAGCTTTCTTTCTGCCAGAGCATTCCTCCCGGGTACAGCAGCCGGGGAGCCACAGCCGGGGCCTTTCCCAAGGAACACGAGACAGTGCGCCGCACAACAGAGGCACGGTGGTGCACACACCTGTGTGCTTGTGTGTGTGTCTGTTTCTGTCTGTGTTTGCGCATGTGTGTGTGTGAAATATGCGCATGTATTTGTGTGTGGACGTGCATGTATGTGCCTGTACACTTGTGCGTGTTTGTGCATGAGTGTGCATGTACATGTGTGCATGGGCATGCCTGCACATGTGTGCATGTGTTTGTGTGCATGTACATATGTGCATGTACACATGAGCATGCCTGCATGTACATGCACACCTGGGTGTGTCTATGAAATGAACACAGTGGAGACAATGTTTCAGCGTCCCCCATCTGCCTGGAAAACTAGCTTCCTCCCCAGGACAGGGAGGTGGACAGTCAGGTCCTCTGTGTTCCTGCAGCTGCCCAGGCTGGTCCCACTGTGGCCAGAGCCCACGACTCCCCTCTCTGAGCCCCTCCCCTGGCGCCCACTCCCATTTCCGGCCTGCTTGGAGGACACCAGAGGTGGCCCCAGGGTGGACACCTGGGGAGGAACCCTGTGCACAGGCTCCTCGCTTTGCAGTCAGCCACGGGAGCTGGGTGTCCAGCCCCGGAACAGTGCGGGCACAGTCCTGGCCAGCAGGGTCCCTGGCCTCCACAAGCACCGTGGCACTGGGGACTCCGAGGCACTGGGGTGGAGAGGGCCCCACCTCTGTGCCCTCCCTCGGGCTTTCTTGCCAGGTCAGAGCGGCTGTTGAGGTGGGCAACTGGTGGGGACCCCTCCCAGGCCAAGCCCAGCCCCGGAGCTTTATCCACCCCGAGTCCCTGGGAACCTGCCCCCAGGTCCCCACCTGCGGGCCCTGGCCACACCACCACGTGAGCCAGCAGCAGGCGGAGGCCCCGCTGGACACAGGCAGGCCTGTCTTCTCCAGCCCACACCCGCTCCCAGCTGCAGGCTGTGCTCAAAATGAGGAGGCGTGGCCAGAGGCAGGCGCAGAGCAAACGGGGTGGGGCGGCCTGGCCCCCCCTCTCGGTAACACACAAAAGGCCGAACCCCTCTGTGGTTAAGGCACTAGCCGGGCTGTGGGGCAGGGAGCCTCCTGGGGCCTCGGGGTCTGCTGGGTCAGGCCATGTTTACACAGGTGTCTGCCTCTGTCCAGACTCCTCCAAATGGACGATGAACTGTGTCCACCTTGGGGTTAGTCAGACAGGGCTCACATTCCAGACACGAAGGCTAAATAAGAACTTTTTCAGAAAATAAAACCCGGAGGAATTCGTCACCAACAGATGTGGACTTGAAAGAGATACGAAGGGTCTGGCCGCTGTGGCTCAGTGGTTGAGCATCGAGCCTGCACCAAGGGGTCCCGGTTCGATTCCCGGTCAGGGCACATGCCCAGGTTGTGGGCCAATCCCCAGTGGGGGGCGTGCAGGAGGCGGCCAATCGCTGTTCTCTCTCATCCATGTTTCTATCTCTTCCCTCTTCCTTTCTCTCTAAAAATCAATAAAGGAAAAAAAAGTTAAAAAAAAAAAAAAGAGAGAGATGCTAAAGGGACCCACCATCCAGGAGGGACCAAGCCTCAGAATGAGCCCTGGGGACCCCAGTCCTGCTCAGCGCCCTGTGTCTGCTGGGGATCATCCCCACCCAGAAGGCAAGTCCGTGACAGCACAGAACCAAGGCTCAGGCTGTGAGTGGAGCTGGGTGGTAAGCTGCCGGGGACGGGGACGGGGACATGGACATACTGCCTGCTGGGGACGGGGACATGCTGCCGGGGACGGGGACGGGGACATGGACATGCTGCCTGCTGGGGACAGGGACATGCTGCCGGGGACGGGGACATGCTGCCGGGGACGGGGACGGGGACATGCTGCCTGCTGGGGACATGGACATGCTGCCTGCTGGGGACGGGGACATGCTGCCGGGGACGGGGACGGGGACATGCTGCCTGCTGGGGACGGGGACATGCTGCCGGGGACAGGGATGGGGACGGGGACATGCTGCCTGCTGGGGACGGGGACATGCTGCCGGGGACGGGGACGGGGACATGGACATGCTGCCTGCTGGGGACGGGGACATGCTGCCGGGGACGGGGACGGGGACATGGACATGCTGCCTGCTGGGGACGGGGACATGCTGCCGGGGACGGGGACATGGACATGCTGCCTGCCGGGGACGGGGACATGCTGACGAGGGGCAGCGAGCGTTCGGAGGGAAGCATGAACCACGCCCGCCCGCCAACCGCGAGAACAGTAGAGACGGCCGTCCACAAAGCAGGGTCTGAAGAGGGATCTGCACACCCACGCGCACAGCCGTGTGGCTGCCCACGGCCACGCATGCAGCAGCCCGGGGCCCACAGACAGGAGCGGCGGGTAAACACGGCAGGTCTCTCTAGGCCAGGAACACGGTTCAGCCATAAAAAGGAAGGAGATTCTAACAGCTGCTACTGCGTGGATGGCCCTCGAGGACTGGATGCTGAGTGGAATGAACCACACGCGGGACACATTTTGTGTGACCGCACTCATGAGGTCCCTGCAGGAGCAGGAGCCACAGAGACAGGAAGGACAGTGGGGACCGGGGGAGGGGTGGGTGGGCGTTCCCGGGGACAGAGTTTCCGGGGACAGAGTCAGGTGGGAGGATGGACTGTCCCGGACAGGATGCGGTGGCTGGGCCACAGTGAGTGCACCTGAGGCCACGGAGCTGTGCACTTGGACGTGGTTAAAAGGGTTAAAGAAACAAAGTAAAGTATAAGCTAATGAAAAGAAAATTATGCAATCAAGAAATTACTTACTCCCGAAGAGAGAGGACAGGAACAGCTGTCAGACAAGGCCCCCCCACGTCCCCAGAGTAGGGCAGACTGTACACCCCCCACCTACGCTACCACCACGCACTCCACCCCGCCCCCACCCCACCACCCCTGCCCAGGGCTCCTCCTCCTAAGTGACTGACACCCTTCCCATACAGTGTGGATGGGAGTGACACCACGTGACTTCTGACCGTGAGTCCTCAAAGGAGAATGTCCTCTGCTGCTCTTGTGTCCCAGGTCACGCTGGAAGGAAATGAACCACGGCCCTGGGCCACGGCCACAGTGGTTCACAGGGGTTGGCTTCATGCTGAGAGCAAGCGCTGGGCAGTGACAGGGCCTGGTGGGGGCACTTCACCCTTCAACAGCTTCCCAGAGAGGGTGACCACCCTGATGGGGGGACAGAGCCTCAGGATGGAGCATGGAGAAGAGAGGAGGGCAGAGGGCGGGGCACAGAGCCCAGGAGAAGGCCAGGGAGACAGCAGCTTCCCAAGGGGGAGGAGGAGGCTGGGGCAGCTGCTCTGGGGAGGGGCTGGGGCAGGAGGCAAGGGGCTGCGGGGTGCGCCCCGGGTGCTGCTCTCCCCCAGCCCTAGTCCTCAGGAAGCCCCCCTGGCCCCTGGACTCAACGCAGACCTAGGCACAGTGGGTGTGCAGGTGGGTGCAGGTGGGTGCAGGGAGGTGTGCAGGTGGGTGCAGGTAGGTGTGCAAGTGGGTGCAGATGGGTGCAGGTGGGTGCAGGTGGGTGCAGGTGGGTGCAGGTGGGTGCGCAGGTGGGTGCAGGTAGGTGCGCAGGTGGGTGTGCAGGTAGGTGCACAGGTGGGTGCAGGTGGGTGCAGGTGGGTGCAGGTGGGTGCAGGTAGGTGCGCAGGTGGGTGTGCAGGTAGTTGCGCAGGTGGGTGCAGGTAGGTGCGCAGGTGGGTGCAGGTGGGTGCAGGTGGGTGCAGGTGGGTGCAGGTAGGTGTGCAGGTGGGTGCAGGTGGGTGCAGGTGGGTGCACAGGTGGGTGCAGGTAGGTGCGCAGGTGGGTGCAGGTGGGTGCAGGTAGGTGCACAGGTGGGTGCAGGTAGGTGCGCAGGTGGGTGCAGGTGGGTGCAGGTAGGTGTGCAGGTGGGTGTGCAGGTAGGTGCGCAGGTGGGTGCAGGTAGGTGCGCAAGTGGGTGCAGGTAGGTGCAGGTGGGTGCAGGTGGGTGCAGGTAGGTGCAGGTGGGTGCAGGTGGGTGCAGGTAGGTGTGCAGGTGGGTGTGCAGGTAGGTGCGCAGGTGGGTGCAGGTGGGTGCAGGTGGGTGCAGGTAGGTGTGCAGGTGGGTGTGCAGGTAGGTGCGCAGGTGGGTGCAGGTAGGTGCGCAAGTGGGTGCAGATGGGTGCAGGTGGGTGCAGGTGGGTGCAGGTAGGTGTGCAGGTGGGTGCAGGTGGGTGCAGGTGGGTGCAGGTGGGTGTGCAGGTGGGTGTGCAGGTGGGTGTAGATATGCACATACTTCTCAGCAGAGTGCACAGTATGTGCACGAGTTTGTTTCTCTCTTGTTCACATGGGCGCACACAGGTGTGCAAATTGATACATCTCTGCAAAGGGCCAGAGGCAGGGAGTACAGGGGCCAGGTAAGAACACCCAGTTGGGGAGGAGGTGAGCCAGGACAGGGGGACCAGGTGGGGGAAGAGGTGGCCCAGGACAGAGGGACCAGGTGGGGCAGGAGGTGGCCCAGGACAGAGGGACCAGGTGGGGGAGGAGGTGGCCCAGCACAGAGGGACCCAAGTGCTACCTGTCAAGTCTGGGAAAATGACGTTGTCCTCTGACAGGCCCTGAGCTCTGACCAGGCAGATAAATTTGTTCAGCACCTGGGTCTGTAGCGCCCATATTCTGCCTGAAGCCCAAGAACACAGTGTGGCCCTGAGCAACTGGAGGTGGGATGACCCCCCCAGCACAGGGCCAGGCCTCCTCCCTCCAGCCCCCTCCAAGTGCACTGCGGAGAGGGGAGGGGCTCACACAGCAGGGTGACCCTGAGGACGGGCTGGCTGCCCGACTGTCTCCTGGAGAGCATCAGGGCGAAGGTGGTGTAGTCCGTGTCCTGCACCTGCACCTCCTCAACCTCTGCCGGGGAACCTGCGGGGGGACCTGCGGGGCTCGGCCAGGTCAGGGGCGCTCCCGCCGGGCCCTCCACCAGCGCCCCCGTGCCCCCCCTGCCCACGGTCTCACTCCTGCTCTGGTCCACTGAGAATTTTCCAGGCTGGGCTGTGGGAATCAGCACATAGGACCAGGTGAGGCAGCGCTGGCCCCTGCGGGGGAAAGAAGGGCAGGGGAGGAAGGTTCTGGAACCTGGCCAGGCCCATGGCCTCTTCGGCCCCAAGGTGGGCCCTCCAAGGAGAATTCAGCAGCTGGTTTGTGAGCAGGGCCCAGCAGATGAGGCTCGGCACCTGCCCCAGGGAGGGGGTGTCCACCCTGCGCCCCTCAGGCCATCTGCGTCCTCCCTCCAGCAGCCAGGCATGAACTCCACCTCCGAGGAGCGCGGCCAGCCCCTGCGCAGCCTCTGCCCAGCCCACGGCTGCCCGGCCCTGCGGGGCCTGGAACAGGGTGTGCAGGGATGAAACGGCTCCTCGGGTCTTGCTGGAGAAGCGGAAGGAGGTGGAGGGGCTGCATTTGCACTGGGTCCCCTGCCCCCAGGTAATCAACCTCCAGCCAGAGCCCAGTTGGCCAAGTCAGATGCCCCAGGAGTTTAAGCCTCCCCGGTGGGGGGGTCTGGTGGGGCTCAGCTGCACAGGCGACTCCGAAGGCCGATGGGTGGCCGTGCTCACAGGTTCACAGGGCAGGGAGCTGAGTGTACCCCTCAGGGGAGGCTGTGTCCCACTCTTGGCCTCCAGGGGACCCTGGGTCTGCATGACAAACCCACCTCGCGGAACCCTAAGCAGAGGTCTCGGGCCTCTCTTCCCCTCAGCCCAGCAGGCGGAGGGGTGGCAGGCCCTCAAGGCATCAGTGTCCCCCAAGGCTCCCGCCTCCTCTGTGATCAGGGAGCAGGCATTTGACCCAGGCAGGCCAGCCAAAGCAGCTGTCATCCTGGACACAGCTGGTCCAGGAAGGGCACGTGACTCGAGAAGACCAAGCAGAGATCATTGCCAGGCTGGCCTCTGGGCGCTCCCTTTCCTGACATCGGGACCCTGGGAAGGACGGCAGCTTAAGCCACCGTCTTGTCCTGTAAGGTGAGAACCTGCCTGAACAGAAGTCTGGGGCAGGCAGAGCTGAGGGAGGAGAGCAAGGGCATGACAAGGCCCTCGTCATGATATCTGGGCTCCTGGATCCAGCTGAACCTGAAATCCATCAGCCCCCAGGCCGAGTTTGTGCTCCGTAAACGCCTCCCCTTTGGTGTACACCCCGAGCTGTCTGGATCACTGCTGTCCTGGCATTAGGGGGTCTCTGGAGAATGTGGCACCAGGGCCACAGTGGACCTGAACCACGGAGCCATTGGCTTCCGGGCACAGGCCGGGGACCGTCACTCACCGGGTCATGGCATAGGACACTTCAAGGCGCTTCTGTTTGTTTCGCTGGAACGTTGCAGTGAAAGGGTTCAGAAGGGAGCTGTCCGTCTTGCTGTGGGTGCTGCCAGCCAGGCCGAGGACAAACCACTCCCCCTGGAACTACAGGGAGTGGGGGCTGGGCAGGTGCCAGAAGACCCTCCCCGGGCTGGGCTCCCAGGCTGGGTGTGCACCACTGACGCTGGGAACCTGGGTGTGGCAGGGACAGGGACCCAGGCCGGTAGCTGCCTCTCTGAGCCTCAGTTTCCCTGTCTGTGCAGAGGGACTGAGGTAGTCCCCCTTCACCGGGATTGTCAGGGGCTCCGGGGGGTGGAGAGCTGGGCTGGGTGCCCGCCTGCAGGGCTGCCTGGACTGCACCCCAGGGGCACAGCCACCTCTCCCTGCACCCTGCCGGCTGCCTCCTCTCGCCCCAGCCCCCACCTTGTCCTCCTGGAAGGTCTTCAGGACCTGGGTGGTGGGCAGCCCAGGCCGTGAGGTCTGGCCCTCGGCTTCCAGCAGGCTGAGCACCACCCACAAGGCACCCAGAGCTCCCATCCCTGCAGCCCGGGGGGAGGAAGCGACCACTGGCTATGGACTCCTCTAGCCTCCTTATGAGCCCCTCCCCTGCAGCGCCCCTCCTCGGGGTGTGGTAACCCCACCTTCCTCCTCAGGACCGGGAGGTGGTGGTGGCAGGAAGGGAGGTGGGTGCAGGGGACTAGGTGTGGGCGGAGCGGGTGGGCCCTCCTCAGATCCTGCCCACTAAACATGGGGGCATCTGGGTCCCTGCTTGGGGAGGGAGGTGGGCAGGAAATGGGGGAGGGGTGCCCACCAGGTCCTTGCCTTCTGATTCCTGAAACCCACCCACCCCCACTCTGTACCCCACGACCCCACAGTGTCTGTCCAGCCGCAGCTACAGGACGGAATGCACCAGGAAGGGGGCATGTCCCTTCTTGGTCCCGAGGGGCCAGAGCCGCAGTGTTCTTGCTGCGGGAACACAGTGTAGTGCCCGGGCCGCCAGCGCCCACGCTGCTCCACGTGGCCCAGACCCAGGGAAGGACAAGGACAGGGCAGTGGGCCAGCAGTTGCGAGGGTGCGGGGGAGGCAAGGGGGAGGCAGTCTGCAGGGTCTCTCGGCAGGAGGGAGGGGGAGCCTGGCCCCGTCGGTGTGGGGCCCACGCTGGGCCTGGGGCAGGAGGCCTCAGGGAGGGCAAAGGCCAGCTCGGGACTTGCAGACCGCCTTCCCAATCCCGCCACCCCTGGAGCATATGGGTGCTGGACTCCAGAACAGTAGAATGACCCTGACCTGTGAGCCCCCTGTCCTGGGCCACCTCCTCCCCCACGGGTCCCCCTATCCTGAGCCACCTCCTCCCCCACGGGTCCCCCTATCCTGAGCTACCTCCTCCCCCACGAGTCCCCCTATCCTGAGCTACCTCCTCCCCCACGGGTCCCCCTGTCCTGAGCCACCTCCTCCCCCACGGGTCCCCCTGTCCTGAGCCACCTCCTCCCCCACGGGTTCCCCTGTCCTGAGCCACCTCCTCCCCCATGGGTCCCCCTGTCCTGAGCCACCTCCTCCCCCATGGGTTCCCCTGTCCTGAGCAGAAGTCCCAGCCAGGCCACTCAGAAGGCTCTGGCCCCCCCAAGGCTCAGGGGCTGAGGGGCTGGGCTGTCCCAGGCCTCCGTCCTCATGGAAGGTGTGGCCCCCTGGGGCCCACCTTCTGCCGGGAGGGCCCCCATTGCCAAGGCCTCCCTGGGCCATCGGCAGGCCCTAGGGGGAGGTCCAGGGGGCTGCCCCAGTTCCTTGGGCTGGCTGTGCCCACTCGCCAGCCGTGTCTTTCAGGAGATGGACCCACAATGACAGAAGTTCCAAATCACATGACTGTTTGTCCCAAAGGAGCCCTCACTCCAGCGGAAGCGGGTGGCAGTTCCCACGCCCAGCCCCTGAAGGCCTGGCGTCCCACCCTGCGGGCACCAGCCCCTTGGCCTTGCCGGGAGCCGCCCCGCACCCACAGGTGCCCCGGAGAGGCTGGGGCAGGGGGCAGCAGCATCAGAAGGGGGCCGGCTGGCACCTCCACCAGGACCCCTGGCCGAACGGTGCCCAGGCCCGGGGCAGCATCCCACCGTTGATTAACCAAGTAAACAAGTTCGCACAACAGTGCTTCACCTGGGCTCCGGTCGCTCCACCTCCACACTGAACACGCGATTAGAGTCCGTGGACATGTCTGCGCCAACACTGTCCAGGCCCCGGTCCCGCCCGGCGCTTGCCCGGCCCGGGGCCTCGGTCGGCCGGGAAAGCTGGGCTGCTATGTGGCCTCAGCCCCGTGGTCACCTGGGTGGGTCTCTGGCCCTGCCCCTTGGACACCAGCACTCCACAAACACCCTTCTTTCCCCAGAAGCCCCGAGGGGGTCTGCCAAACCCGCTGCCCCCAGAGCACAGCCGGCAATTTCCATGTGGGGGCACGGGGCCAGGGGTGCAGGGGGCTCCCTGCCACTCTGGGCCTCAGCCCGGGTGCTGTAGGTGGCCTGTGGCCTCCGGCTCTATTCTGTGGGTGTGTGGGACCCAGGGCCGTGGGGTGCAGTGGCTGTAGTCACCTTTGCCCTGGTCCTTTGAAGTTCTGGGGGCTGGGACTCCTGCTGTGCCCTCCTGCCCCCAGCCCTTCCTGTCTGTCCCCTTGGGAGTGGAGTCTGTGGGGTTGGGCAAGGTCCCTACCCAATGGGGACATGGACCCCCTCCAGGGCTGCTGCTGGCTCCTCCCACCACAGTCTTACTGGTCTGGACTAGCCAGGGGGTGAGAGAGGCAAGTGGGCACTCAGAAAAGGACCGGGGCCCCAACGCCCCTCACCAGGGACTGGGCAGTGGTCCCGCCTGCTCTGCGACCTATGATTCATCTGAGTGGCCTCGTCCTCCCCGAAGCCCAGGGAGGGCGGCTGCAGGGGACGAAATGGGTGCAGGGGTCTGCCTCCAGCGCGGCCAGCCTGGGCTGAGTCCCCAGCAGCAGGGACCGCCCCTGGGTGTCCAGGGCTGGCCTGCAGCGGGCAGTTCAGAAAGGTTCAGCAGGGCGGTGCTGAAGTCCCGAGCGGGCGGTTCTGATGGGGGTCCAGCCCAGCTCCCTGACCCTCCAGCCCCGGCCTGGCTCCAGCCAGGGGCTGCCACCTGCCCTCGGACCCTCTCCCATGTCCTCCTAAAGGGAGGTGGCCCCTATTCCTGGTTCCCTGGGGACTGCTCTGGGCTGGGAAGCTGTGGGCTTGTTGGGCCCCATGGCGCAGATGGACACCCTGGCTCCTTCACTCGGCCAGGGGGCCTGGCTCTGGGCCGGCATGGCTGCAGACGGCCTGGTGGGCCAGGGACAGGGGCGCGCTGGCCTCCTCTGGGGCCTCTGGGAGCAGGGCTCCCCAGACCTGTCGGGGCATGGGGTGGGCACATGAGGGGCACAGCACCTCCTAAATCGCCAGAGCCGTTGAAGTCACGGGTACCCTCCCACAAATAGGGAAGGCCCTCAGCCACTCAACAAGACCAAGTGGAAACCCAGCCAGTATGACTCAGTGGTTGAGCATCGGCCCCTGCACCAGGAGGTCGCCGGTTCGATTCCCCGTCAGGACGTATGCCCAGGTTGTGGGCCAAATCCCCAGTGGGGGAGCACGCAGGAGGTGACCCATCCATGTTCTCTCTCATTGATGCTTCTCTCTCTCCCTCTCCATTCCTCTCTCTCTAAAAATCAGTAAAGAAAGAAAAAAAACAATAAGTTGGGGACAGGACCCAAGCCCAGACCCTGGCCCAGGATGAGGGCTGCAGCCTGCCCCTCCTCCAGCCCCACAGGCAGCTGTCTCTGCTCCTGGGAACCCCCTGACCAAGGTGGGGGGGGGAAGCTGGTCCTAGAGTATCCCTGCTGTCCTGGGCTACTTGGGGGATCAGATTAGTACAACCGTGGTTCTTCTAGTGCTTTCCACTGATGGGGACCCCTGGTGAGGGGCAGGCAGGATGCTGGGACCTCACTGTGTGGGAGAGAGGCTGTCTGCTCGGGGCACCAGGCAGCTCCTGCTCACCGGGGCGGCCCTGCCCCAGTGCCTCCCCTGTTCCTGACAGTGTGATGTCCCTTGAATGGGCCCCTCCTGGCAGCCAGTGGGGGGACAGGACACCCTCACCCGTCTTCATTTCTCCCACTCCCCTCCAACTTCCTCTCCCCAAGCCTTGGAGTTCCCACATTCCGGAAAGTTCCTCTTACAGAGAGAGCCACCTTGCCTCCAAGTCTCTAGCTGGTGACCCAGGGCAAACCCTGAGCATCCGCTCCTGGGGGCCCCGCAGTCGGCAGGGGCCCTCCGCTGTGTGCCCGGAGCACCTGTGCTCGCCCAGTCCTGGCACCGGAGGTAGGCTGGCCCGCTTCATCCGGCCTGCGGCAGGGACCCACCCGCTGCTGCGCCCCTGCCCGCTGGCCTCCCAGCCAGGAGCAGACCCAGCCCAGCCAGTCCCGAGTCCTGCCTAGCGGTGAGATGCCAGCGCACCCAGACCTGGGCCCGCATCCAGGAGCCGCTGCCTCCGCAGGGAAGGTGCTCCGTGCACCGGGGGCCCACATGCCCACGGGATGTCCTGAGGTGACCTGAGGTGACTGGGGGCGCAGAGGCCCCGGCTGGAGCCAGCACAGAAAAGGAGTCAGCCAGGAAAGATGGCATTTAATGGGGCAGTGCCCCAGGGCCCTGGGGTGAGGGGCAGCTTCAGGGGACAGGTGGGGTGCCGGCCTCAGTGCAGGGTCTTCACTGCCTGCATCAGGGACTGCTCGGGCCTCACCTCCTGACTTCTGCAGCACAAAGGGGACACTCAGCCTGGAGGCAGCTCCTGCCCCCCCACCCCGCCCCCACCCCTGCCCCCACCTCCCTGCCCCCGCCCCCGCCCCATCCTCTCACCGTCCAGGCGGTGGAACTGGTCTGCAGCCTCACAGAAACCTGAGGGCCAGGCAGGGGTCAGTGTGGCAGGGGCGAGGCCCCTGAAGGGGGTCGGGCAGGCCACAGGCGGCCACTGGGGCCACTCACCATATTTGGGGAAGTACAAGGTGTGGTCCTCCGTCATGTTGGCCTCCAGGACCCGCTGCTCAAACTTACTCACGACCAGGTCATTCACAGGGAGTGAGCGGGCTGTGGGACACAGGGCCGCTGGGGTGCTGGGCACCGCCGCGTAGGGGTAGGCGGGGTGCTCTGGGGACAGTCTGTGTGCCTGCCACGCTCCCAGCCCTGTCTGACCCTGCCGCTCCTGCCCCCACCAGGGCCTATCTGCAGGGGTGCCTCCTGACCCTCTCCCCAGTCAGCAGGTGAGGGTCAGGACGCCTGAAGGAGGGGAGGGTCTGTGTGTCCACCTGGGCTGGCCCAGCTGCCCGGATGGGGCCCAGTGCGCAGAGCCAGGGCTCCAGCAAGGACGCACCATACAGCTTCACTGTCAGCCGCCGAGCCCGCTCCAGGTACAGGACGGCGAAGCTCTGGTAGTCCGTTTCCCCAACAACCACGTGCACATCCCTCCTCGCGCCTCGAGCTGGGCAGAGATGGGCAGAGCTGGCCAGAGCCAGCAGTGACATCAGCCCCACCCCCAGCCTTGTACCCCCAGCCCTGCACCCCCACGAGCTGGGCAGAGATGGGCAGCAATGGCCAGAGCCGGCAGTGACATCAGCCCCACCCCTAGCCTTGTACCCCCAGCCCTGCACCCCCACGAGCTGGGCAGAGATGGGCAGTGCTGGCCAGAGCCGGCAGTGACATCAGCCCCACCCCCAGCCTTGTACCCCCAGCCCTGCACCCCCACGAGCTGGGCAGAGATGGGCAGCGCTGGCCAGAGCCGGCAGTGACATCAGCCCCACCCCCAGCCTTGTACCCCCAGCCCTGCACCCCCACAAGCTGGGCAGAGATGGGCAGCAATGGCCAGAGCCGGCAGTGACATCAGCCCCACCCCCAGCCTTGTACCCCCAGCCCTGCACCCCCACGAGCTGGGCAGAGATGGGCAGCGCTGGCCAGAGCCGGCAGTGACATCAGCCCCACCCCCAGCCCTGCACCCCCAGCCCTGCACCCCTGGAGCCGCCTTGCTTCACCTTGGAGCAGGAAGCGGCCAGGCACCTGCGTGTGTCCGTAGAGCTGCTGTACCTGCCAGCAGATGCCATCCCTGGGGAGGGGGACAAAGGCACAGCTGGCTTGGGGACCCAGCCTGGGCAGACCAGGCAGGACAGCAGTCCAGGCCACAGCAGGGGTGGATCAGGGCTGGGATGGGGCAAGGGGCTGAGGTGGGGCTGGGGGTCCGTGCTGGGACTCACAGCTTTTGGAAGGTGCTGACAGCCATGTCTGCACCCTGGGGAGCCACCTTTAGTGTGGTGGCCTCAGCCCGGTGGCCCTGCTCCTGCAGGAAGCGGCAGGGAGAGGCCACGGCTACGAGGAACCAAGTCCCTGCAAACTGGAGGCAGGCTGTGTAAGGCCATGAGTGGACCGGGCTGCCCAGGCCTGATCCCTACAAGGCTGGGCAGGCCGCTGCCCCCCCACCTCCTCCCCTCCCCCAGCTCTACCTGCTGAGCATCGAAGCCTGCCTTGGGCTGGATGGTGCTGATGGGGGACTGGTGCTTGGGGGGTCTCCGAGCCCTCAGACCCAGGGAGCCAGCAGCCACGACCAGAGTCAAGAGGAGAGCAGTCCTGGGAGACAGCATGGTAGAGGTGGCAGTGGCAGGACTGAGCGAAACCAAGGGCAGGATGGCTACGTCCTGGGTCGTAGTCCACTGTCCAGTGCTACCCAGGAAGTCCTCGTCTGTTCTCCCCAGGCCCCAGCCCAGGGCCAGCCAGGGTCCAGCCCCCCCACCCTGCCCCCTGCCTTCTCATGAGCTTGGCCTCGCCCTGGACACCTGACTTTGACCCTGCACTTCTCGGCAGGGCCTGGGCGCCATGCCCTGGGTACAGAGTCCGAGCGGACCTCTGGTTATTTGTGCAGCAGCCCCACCGATGTCCACTGTGGCCGGGCTCAGCCCTTTGCATTGACTCCACTAAACCAACAGGTCCTTGAGGCCGGCGCCGCTCTTATCCTCACCGCGGAGGGCGCGGGCGCCCGGGGCGCCGGCGGCAGGGTCTCCGGCGCACCCCGGCCCGCGGGGGCGCTCTTGCGCGCTCGGCGGCCGGGCGGGCGGAGGCGCAGGCGCAGGCGCAGCTGACGCAGCCGCTCGGCCGGCGCCATCGGTGTCTCGGGGCTCGCGCCGGCCAGGGGGGCTCCGGCACGGCGACCAGGCGAGCCAGGGGCTCCGCGGGCCGGGGCAGGGAGCCGGGGCGGCCACGGTGAGTGCGCCCGGCCCCGGGCAGCGTCAGTACCGGGGCCCGGACCCGCGCCAGGGCCCGGCCGCGGCGGGACGAGTCCCCGGCCCGGCCCGGCCCGCGGCCCCTGGTTCCCGGCCGGCCGCGCCCTCGGCCAATGAATGAGTCCGAGGTCCCGCCCGGCAGCCCCTCGGCAGGGAGGTGGGAGGGGGCGGGGGCGGTCCCATCGCCGCCCCGCCTCCCGCCCGGAGTGGAGGCCGCGCCCGCAGACCGCGGCGGGGCTCCCGGGCCACAGGGCCGGGCTGCGGCCCAGCTGGTGGTCCGGGGGCGCCTGGGGCTGGCGGGCGGGCCCTGAGCCGCTGCTGGAAGGCAGGCTCCGAAGCCTGGGGGCCGCAAGGTCAAAGTGGCAGGGTGCGCCCGCGCCCTTCCGGGGCCCTTCCTTTCTGCACCCAGACGGCTCCCTGGGCCTACATCCGGGAGGTCAGAGGGCCCCACCCCAGGTCTGTCTCCAAGGCCTGGAACCTTTAGGGGCCCCCACAGGGGCGTGCAGCCCGAGGAGCAAGGCTGGGTGAAGCTGTTGGACGCTTGGCCAGCTGGCCCTGTGCACAGGGTCAGCCCAGTGAAGTTCCCAGCAGGGCAGGGGGTGGGGCTGGAGGGTCGGCCAGGTGCCTCAGCTCAGCCCCCGAGCCCTGCACCTCTCCTCTGCGTGGGGCTGAGATCCTCCCCAGCCCGACTGGCGGCTAAGGGGGCCGTGCATGGGTTTCAGGGCCACGTGGGCAGAATGTCACGATGGACGAGGGGGGCACACCCCTGCTCCCCGACTGCCTGGTCTACCAGATCTTCCTGAGCCTGGGCCCTGCGGACGTGCTGGCTGCTGGGCTGGTGTGCCGCCAGTGGCAGGCCGTGTCCCGGGACGAGCTCCTATGGAGGGAGCAGTTCTACCGCTACTACCAGGTGGCCCGCGAGGTGCCCCGGCACCCAGGTCAGCACCCGTCCATGGCCCTGCAGCCCGCCAGGATGACTGGGCGGGAGGCCAGTGTCCCCAAGCTGCCATCTTCTGAGTGCACGGGGCAGCACCTGCTACACGGGTCCTCACACCCAAGGGACACGGCCCGGCCATATCTGGGAGCGCAGGGCCTGGCAGGGAGGCCAAGGGTGGGGTTCCACGGGAGCTCCCAGCTGAGGCTGAGTGGTGGCCAGTGAGCTCCAGGGGCAGGGCTGGCCCCACACTGTCAGGGCCCCAGCGGTGACCCCCACTCACCTCACAGCAGCCACATCCTGGTACGAGGAGTTCCAGCGGCTCTATGACACGGTGCCCTGCGTGGAGGTGCAGACGCTCAGGGAGCACACTGACCAGGTCCTGCACCTCAGCTTCTCCCACTCGGGCTACCGGTTGGCTTCCTGCTCCAAGGACTGCACCGTGAAGGTGAGGGCGGCCCCTTGGGGCCGGGGCCGGGGCGGGGCCACCCCACCACGGAGAGAATGGCCTGGGGCTGGTGGCCCACTGAGGTGGGAAGAGAGGGCCAGGCCAGAGGTGACAGATGCCCACACTGTCTCATCCCCATGGAGAGGGCCAGGCCAGGATCACACAGGACGGGAGGCTGGATGGGGGGCTGACACTGCCAACAGAGAGGAGAGGGTCCCGCTGGACGCCTGCTGTTCCAGAGCCAGGTCCCCAGCCCTGTGTACCCCGCTCTTCAGGTGGGCTAACAGCCAAGAGCAAGGAACTGCACTGCAATGGCAGTTTCTGAGCACCTGCTTGGGCCAGACGAACTGGCCTGCAGCATGTGTCCCTGGTGCCCCCTGACATGCCCCGCCCCCCACGCAGATCTGGAGCAACCACCTGACCATCTCGCTGCTGCACAGCGCAGACATGCGGCCCTACAACTGGAGCTACACCCAGTTCTCCCAGTTTAACCAGGATGACTCGCTGCTGCTGGCCTCGGGGGTGTTCCTGGGGCCCCACAACTCCTCCTCTGGCGAGATCGTGGTCATCAGCCTAGGTGAGAGTGGGCCCAGGGTGGCTGGACCTACGCCCTGCCACTGCTGGCCCCTTCTCACGCCCGCTCTTCCCAGCTTCTCCCCACTGGCTCCCCCTCCGCCTGGTGCCCGCCCCCTGCGGTAGTCCCTCCTGCCCAGCCCCTGCTCCCCGCAGACAAATACGAGCTGCTGTCCCGAGTGCGGAACAAGCCTTACGACGTGTTCGGCTGCTGGCTCACGGAGACCAGCCTCATCTCAGGGAACCTGCACCGGATGGGAGACATCACCTCCTGCTCGGTGCTCTGGCTCAACAACGCCTTCCAGGTGCGGGTGGGTGGCCCCCAGGTGGTGACCCCTCCTGGACTGGCCTGTCACCCACTGCCTGTGCCCCACCCCAGAATGTTGAGTCCGAGAATGTCAACGTGGTGAAGCGGCTCTTTAAGATCCAGAACCTCAACGCCAGCACCATCCGCACAGTGATGGTGGCGGACTGTGGCCGCTTTGACAGCCCCGACCTCCTGCTGGACATCAGTGCACCCCCGGGCTGCGTCTTTGACCTGGGCAGCGACGGCATTGAGGAGGACGAGGAGGCGGCAGCTGGCCCGGCCGCGGGGCGCGTGGAGGAGGGCGTTCGGCGCCTCCTGGACACGCGGGCACAGCTGCAGCTGGCAGAGCACCGGCTGGAGACCAAGGCGGCGGAGTTGCTGGCCCGGAGCCGCACCAAGCCCCCTGAGCGCAGTGCAGCCTGTACCCAGAACAAGCTCCTCATCTTCACCACAGGCTGCCTCACCTACTCACCGCACCAGATCGGTAACTACGCAGGGCCAGTCCTCAGCGCCGGAGCCGTGGGCACAGTCACTGCGTGCCCGGGGGCGTCTGGGTGCTGGGGTCCCTCACCGGGCTCTTCCGCAGGCATCAAGCGGATCTTGCCGCACCAGATGACCATGGCTGGGCCAGTGCTAGGCGAGGGGCGGGGCTCCGACGCCTTCTTTGACGCCCTGGACCACGTGATCGACGTGCACGGACACATCATCGGCATGGGCCTGTCCCCGGACAACAGGTGTGCACTCGGGCTGGGCGGGGGCGTCTGCAGGCATGTGCACGAGCAAGCAGAGTGCCCCTCGCCCAGGTACCTGTATGTGAACAGCCGCGCCTGGCCCAGGGGCTCCGTGGTGGCCGACCCCATGCAGCCGCCGCCCATTGCAGAGGAGATCGACCTGCTGGTGTTTGATCTCAAGACCATGCGGAAGGTGAAGCGGGCCCTGCGTGCACATCGCGCCTACACTCCCAACGACGAGTGCTTCTTCATCTTCCTGGACGTGAGCAGGGACTTCGTGGCCAGGTAGGGAGGGGCGCCAGACTGGGTGGGCAGGGCCCAGCGTGGCACACGGCTCACCCCAGGCTGTCCCAAAGTGGGGCTGAGGACCGGCACGGCTACATCTGGGACCGCCACTACAACATCTGCCTGGCCAAGCTGCGACACCAGGACGTGGTCAACTCCGTGGCCTTCAGCCCTCGGGAGCAGGAGCTGCTGCTGACGGCCAGCGACGATGCCACCATCAAAGCCTGGCGCTCACCCCGCGCCGTGCGCGTCCACCAGGCCCCATGCCCACGCCCCTTTTTCTCCTGGTTGGCCAGCCAGAGGCGCTGAGGGGCGCTGGCCAAGAGGAGCACCCGGGCTGTCCTCTGGCTGCTGGTGCCCATGAGGACGCCATGGAGGCTTTTCCCCATGGCCAAGCTGCTGCCCGGGTCACGCGGGGACGGAGAAGCTCGCAGCAGTAATGCCTTAGGAAGGGGCCTGGCAGGGCTGCGGGAGCTGATGGCTGACCCCCACCACGCTCATGCACGCACGCCGCTGGCCACAGCCGTGACACTGAGCACTGGGGTGCCGGGCAGCCTCCTGGCCAACCTAGGGTACACAGGACGCTGGGAGCCCCGCTCTTCACCCACCCTTTCCCTGGGCCCTGGGCTGTCAGCATGACACTGCCCCTCGGCTGGCCCTGTGGGGCCCCGGGGGCCCCAGGCTTCCCCTCTGGTTGGCAGTGTGGGTCAGTCTGTCGTGGGCCCAGGGGAACCGCATGTCACGAGTCACCTGTTTGGGACTTGAATAAACAGTTGGCGACAGCACTCCACATCCAGTCTCTGTGTAATGGAGATGCCAGTCCACAGAGACGCGGGGGTGTAGCTGCTGGAGGGTACGAGGCGGGCGGGGGCCAGCGCGTTGGCGGGGCGGGGCTTTCACAGAGGGCGCTCTGGTCAGGACAGAACCAGCAAACCAGGGCCGGCAGGGAACTTGCTCAACCTGAAAGAGGCCCTGGACTGGAAAACCTGCAAGTCAGACCACACTCAGCCCTGGCCAGTCTGGCTCAGCGGTTGGAGCATCGGCCTGCGGTCCAGAGGGACCCGGGTTCGGTTCCCGCTAAGGGCATGTGCCTTAGCTGCAGTTTGTCCCCGGCCCTGGTTGGGTGGTGTGGGTGGCAGCCACTCGATGTGTCCCTTTCACGTCGGTGTCTCTCTCTCTCCCCCACTCTATCTGAACAAAAAATGGAAAAATGTCCTCGGGTGAGGATAAAAAAAAAAAATCACACTCAGGGTGACAGGGACTGCTGCCCCCAACCCCCAAGACAGGAGCGAGGCAGAGCCGTCACCCCCCACCCGGTTCCCTCACCATGGAACAAGGCAAGAAAGAGAACGGACAGGCATGCAGACTGGCGTGAAGGAATGACACTGTCCCTGTTCACAGGTGACAACTGTTTCCCACAATCTACAAAAAAATGCCAACCTAGAGCCAACAATAAGTGTGCTCAGAAGTTCAGAGGATATGAACGTGACATGTGAAAATCAACCATGCCTCTGAACACTAGGAATGTACAACTGGAAACTAAAATTTAAAAGTCCAGCCTGGCTGGGTGGGCTCAGTGGCTGAGCGTTGACCCTGCACCAAGAAGTCACAGGTTCGATTCCCTGTCAGGGCACAGGCCCAGGTTGTGGGCCCGATTCCCAGTGGGGGGCATGCAGGAGGCGGCCACTTGATATTCTCTCTCATCAATGTTTCTATCTCTCTGTTCCTTCCTCTTTCTCTAAAATCAATAAAGGAAAAAAAACGTAATTAACAAAAAAAAAAGCCCTGGGCAGTTTGGCTCCGCTATTAGAGTGATGGCCCGTGGACCAGGGAGTTGCGGGTTCAGTTCTGGCCAGGGGCACACACCTCAGTTGTGGTTCGTCTCTGGCCCCGGTTGGGGTCACGCGGGTGGCAACCAATCGTGTGTCTCTCACATCGATGTTTCTCTCCACCCCCCATTCTGTCCAAAGATAAATGTAAAAACTATCCTCGGGTGAGGGTTAAAAAACAGAAAAAAGTCAAGACCTTTTACATCGGCTGAAACAAAGGAAACGCTTAGGGTCCCCTAACAAAACCCGCAAGGGTATGTACGCGGAATCCACAGCAGCGCTAAGTGAAACCAAAGACCCGGATGTGAACACATCGTGCTGACAGGTAGGAAGACTCAGCGCACAGGTCAGTTTTCCCCAAACGATCTCGGATTCAACAAGTTCCTGTGAAACCAGCAAGGCTTGGCAGCTACAGACAAGGTGATTCTGAAGCATCTATGTACCTGTAAAAGCACAAGCAAGCTGAAACAATTCTGAAAAGCGAGGATCAAGGGGGAGGAGGGCAGCGCTGAGTCGCATTCCCTGTAACCACGGCAACGGAGACCGGTGCTGGTCACATCAGCGGGACAGTTTCACACAAACCCGGAGAATTCATTTTTCACAAGCACAGGTCAGCGGAGAACGGAGAGACCACAGCGACCACCTCCATTCAACGGACATGTCTCAGGAGCGGTGCTGGGCAGCCGGCCATCTGACTGCGAAGAGCGGCCGTGACCCCACCCGCACACCCCGTCAGAGTGGCCGTGACCCCGTCCGCACACCCCGTCAGAGCGGCCGTGACCCCGCCCGCACACCCCGCGTCAGAGCGGCCGTGACCCCAGCCGCACACCCCGCGTCAGAGCGGCCGTGACCCCGCCCGCACACCCCGCGTCAGAGCGGCCGTGACCCCAGCCGCACACCCCGCGTCAGAGCGGCCGTGACCCCAGCCGCACACCCCGCGTCAGAGTGGCCGTGACCCCACCCGCACACCCCGTCAGAGTGGCCGTGACCCCACCCGCACACCCCGTCAGAGCGGCCGTGACCCCACCCGCACACCCCGTCAGAGCGGCCGTGACCCCACCCGCACACCCCGTCAGAGCGGCCGTGACCCCACCCGCACACCCCGTCAGAGCGGCCGTGACCCCACCCGCACACCCCGTCAGAGCGGCCGTGACCCCACCCGCACACCCCGTCAGAGCGGCCGTGACCCCAGCCGCACACCCCGCGTCAGAGTGGCCGTGACCCCGCCCGCACACCCCGAGTCAGAGCAGGCGGGCAGCCCTTCAGCAAGCCGCCTCTGTTCTAAAGAACTCCGTTAAGGAATGAGGAGATAAACCAGAGAAAACAGTTACACATCCAACAAAGAACTTGTATCTCTAGACCACAAATGACTCTCAGAACTCAGCAGTAAGAAATAATCAACTGAATTTTAAAATGGGCAAAAGAGCCCTGGACAGTCTGGCTCAGCAGTTAGAGCGTCAGCCTGTGGGTCGAGGGGTCAATTCCCAGTCAAGGGCATGTGCCTGGGTTACAGGTTCGATCCCCGGCCCTTGTCATGGTCGTGTGGGAGGCAACTGATGTGTCTCTTTCACACTGACGTTTCTCTCCCTCCCTGCCTTCCACTCTTCTTAAAAAAAGGAAAAAATCAATGGAAAAATACCCTCAGGTGAGGATTAACAACAACAAAAAGGCAAAAGAGATGAACAGGTGCTTCACCAGAGATCTCCAGCGTCACTGGCTGTTGGGGCGCCTGCCATACCACGTCAGTGCTGCCAGGCCGGGCAGGGGCGGGGCGGAGGCGGGCACTGGCTGGCACGCAGAGGGTCCAGCTGCCCTCAGTCGTCTTCTCCTCTGGAGGCTGAGGACAGGTCAGGCCAGCAGGGTGGGGACAGACTTCTTGCGGTGTCCTCACAGGCACTGATCCCATCACGGGACCCTACCTGCATGACCTCAGGGGTCAGGCCTTCGACGTCAGAATGTGGGTCAGGGGGACAGATTTGTTCAGGCCCCAGCAGCTGCTCTGGAAAACGGTTTCAGTTTCTTGTGAATATAAACTACACCGGCCGCGGGACCCGGCAGCGCCCCTCCTCAGGGACCACCGTGCCCACGCGCCCAGGGAGCCTGCTGCAGAGCCTCGAGGCCTGGGGCCCGGTGCGCGCAGGCACACTAGGCATCCTGCCAAGTGACGGAAGCCAGCCTCCGGTGACAGGCCGAATGAGTCCATTCCAGGTGGGGTGCGGCAACGGCTGCGTCCTGAGAGACGCGAGCCCTCTGTCCTCGCTGGGCACTGCTGATGTCGGCCGCAGGTGTGTGACCCGCAGCTGGACCCAGAGAAACGAGTCGGCTTTACTACATGACAAGCTTGTAACACTGTCAGGGAGGAAGTGCGTTTTGACTCCTCACCTATAGCAGGCCAGGTGACCACGGAGCCATATTCTTTTCCCCTATTTATCTTCAGATAAGGTGGGGGAGGGAAGAGAGAGAAACACTGATGTGAGAGAGACACATCGACCGGCTGCCTCCCGCACAACCCAACCAGGGCCGGGGACGAACCGCACCAAAGTACGTGCCCTTGACCGGAAGCAACCCGAGACTCTGTGGTCTGTGGGCCAACGCTCTAACCACTGAGCCAAACCGGCCAGGCATATCCTTACTTGTGAACCAGGACCATCGCCATGAACAGAGGGTCCAGTAAAGACAGGCAAACATGGGGGCCGGCATCCCTCACCAAGACAAGGGACACACCTCATCAGATATTTAAAAATAATTAGTTTTGTGTTTAAAAAACAAGAGGGAACTAAATTCTAGATGAAGATGAGGGGTCAAGTGAAGGCCCAAACAAGTCCTGTCCCAGCAGGGCCTCCTGGGGCGTGGCCACTCCAGACAGAGCGGAACACGCGGCGTGACTCCACGCACAGGTGCCGCTGAGATGAGAACGCCACGCGCGAGCTCCCCGTCGAGCAACAGCGGGGTCCCAGCAGCCAAGAGCGGGACCGCCTGAGTCCCCTCACGGAAGACGCGTGGTGTTGTCCAGCCCTGGAAGGCAAGATGCTGCCCCTGCCCTCGAACCTTCAAAGTTCTGGCTCAAAGATGCCAGACAGGCCACATCGCGACTCTGCTCATCTGAAGGTCCTGAACAGGCAAATCCATGGCAGCAGGTGGGCCAGTGGTTATCGGGCTGGGGTGCATGTCCTGCAGCGAGGGTGCGAAGGTGGCGAGGCAGCTGCAGCAGGCCTGCTCACGGGTCTTCCTCGGACACGCGGCTTCTCCAGGGGCCTGGTCTCCCCACGGGAGTCACTCAGTGAGGGCGGCGTTCGCAGTCCTAAGCTCCTGCAAGTTCTCCAGACAGAGACCCTCCCCCTGCAGGGGGCGAGGGCCGGGCACCCGCTGCCTCAGGGAGCAAGGGAGGCCTGTGGGGCAGGGCCTGTACTTGAACCCTTCTCTCCCTTTACTGCTCGGGCTCACTCATCCACCGGTGTATAACCACAACTGACCTAACGAGAAAACACACACACACGCACACACTGATACAAATTCCAATCAAACTCAACGTTAAAGACAAGACGTTAAAACCACCAGAAGAGAACACGAGGGCGTTTCCAACCCTGGGGAAGGGCAGGGATTCTCCAATGGCTGGTCAAGAAGACTGTCCAAGGCTCGCGTCTGATTTTAAATCTCTCTGCACCGCCACCACGCAGCTCCACAGCACCACCAAGGACAGGCCCAGGAACATCAGCAAGGCTTCCAACCCACAGGCAGGCAGACCAACAACCCAGCAGACAGACGGACAGGACAGGCGGGCCGCTCCCCGTGGCCCTAGGAGAGCAGACACCCACAGGGCGGGCAGCCCGTCCCCGGGCGCGTGCACATCTGCACCACAGGTCCTCAACCGGGGAGGACAGCTATCCGCCCATGACTGTCTTGAGTCTTAGCACGTTTTACACAATGTAACAGTCTTGTTTGTGGATCAAGAAACAGTAAAAGAAAATGTATTTATTTATTTTGTATCCTCACCCAAGGACATTTTTCCATTTTTTGTTCAGATAGAGTGGGGGAGACACAGAGAGACATCGACGTGAACGGGACACATCGTGTGGTTGTCACCCGCACGACCCAACCAGGGCCCGGGACAAAGTGCAACCGAGGTACGCGCCCTTAGCAGGAACTGAACCCGGGTCTCTCTGGACCGCAGGCCGACGCTCCAACCGCTGAGCCAAACCGGCCAGGGCAGTGAAAGAAAATTTAAACACATCAAACTGGTGAGGACGGTGCCTTGGGAAGGGGACCTGCAACCTCAACTGCTCCACCGCGTGTGGACAGGGGACACGTGCTGTCCTGTCCTGAACTGCTCGGGAGACGAGGGGCAGTGTGCAGGGCGCTCAGGTGTCAGAAGGGTTCTCTCTGCAGATGCCCAGGCGGCGAGCCAGCCTCGCTCACAGGTCCTGAGAATGACAGCCCCCCCTCAAGAGGCGGAGGCCCTAAGCAGGTCTACCGAGGCCCACTGTGGTCAGTCCACGCCGGGGGTCTGCAGCTGTTGAGAAGTCCTGCTGTGGGGCGGGGGGTGGGCAATGCCGCTGACTGACCCCCAAACACCAACACAGCCACTGGCTGTTCGCCCAGCTAAGGTCCCTGCGCGCTCCATGGGGTGGACCCAGGACAGGGAACCTATGGTCCCGCTCTCATGGCAGCCTGTAGGACGGTCTGAGGGAGGAGCCAACCAGCAAAGAACATTCCAGAAGACAGAAGCGCCAGTGTCGCCAGGCCTGCAGAGTGAGCTGCAGTGCTGGAGCCCACATGGCTGCTTGAGCTGGGGACAGGCGGGGCTGAGACCAGGAAGGAGTCCCGGCGAGGGCCACCACCCTGGCTGAAGCCAAATGAACAGCACTACCACAGAGATTTAACGATTTAATAACGACTTCCCCGTGGCCTGACGGGGCAGCAGACACGTCTCTTGGGGAGACTGAACGTACACCCCACACATGCCACAAGGGCAGCAGACAGGATCCTCGAAGGACGAGCCACCTCCCCGCCGCTGGCCTGGCCAGGCTGACACAGTAGGTCCCCTCAGGGCCACGGCCAGGCCCGAGGCTGTCGCTCCCTCCAGGGTCGAAGGGTGGGACCAGGCACTGGGGGCTCCTCGCTGCGGTGGCCCACCTCTCGCGACCACGTGTGCTCTGCTCGCCTTGCTCCGCGCTCCTGCTGCGTGGCGAGCACTCCGAGTGCCCACAGGACAGCCTGCAGGCGGCTCTCCAGGCTCACGGCCGAGCCACAACCTGGGGTTGAGCGCCCTCCCCTGGAGGCGGCTCCTTCCCCACAGGACAGGGCGGAGCTCGGCGCCTGCCCACCGCAGCAAGGCTCAGGCCCAGCACGGCAGCTGACACCAAGGCCCTGGCCAGGTGCCCTGGCCCCTATCCAAGCGGGAAGCGGCTAGAGCCCCGTCAGGTCCACGATGGCCTTGATGAAGATGGCGTCGTCGCGCACATAGGAGTTCTTGGCCTCCATCTTGGAGACAGGGCAGAAGAGGGGGCAGCCGCTCGCAATGTTCATGTCACTGACCGGCCTCTGGAAGGAGGACGAGGTCACGTCGGGTCTGAAAGCGTCAATCACGTGCTCCCGGTTGTTCTGGTCAAGCAGCATGAGGGTCACCTGGGAGGAAAGTGCCGGGAGGGCCGGCCTGAGCCTGGCTGCCATCCGCAGGGTCAGCCTCTCGGGGGACAGTGCCCGTCCCGGCATTTCCGAGCCTCGCACTATGACCAGCGCTCAGGAGAGGCCACCCTGCCTGCGCTCTGCTCCGCCACCACCTCCTCCGCGAGCACCGTCCCTAACCCTCCAATCGCTCGAGGTGTCAAGGGTGCAGCCACACCCAGGGAGGGCCGAGCTGTGCCCTTCCTCTGACACAGGCTCTCCAAGGAGGCACGTTCCACTGGTGGTCCTGGTGGCTGTGGAGCCGGCGACTACCGAGGGCGTGGTGACAGTGCCCACATGCACGCCCTGGGGCCAGGAGCCCCAGCGCCAGCCCCAAACCTCGCCAGCCCGTGGGCTCCCAGGGCCCTAGCCGCAGGACGGCCTGCACACCTTTTGGTTGAAGGGCCAGCGCAGGAGGGCGTCGTTGGGGCCCTTCATCACCACAAAGAAGAGAGACAGGTGTGTGCCGCGCCCAGTGCCATCCCCATTCAGGTACACGCGCAGACACATCTTGTAGCCGTACCTGCTGGTGTAGAAGGCTGTGGGGGGAGGGTGGTAAGGCGGGGACAGAGGACAGCCTCGTCCGCCCTCCGCACACTGCCCTCGGGAGACCCGCCGCTGGGGTGGAAGGGGCGTGAGGGCAGCAGCGGCGAGATGCAGGGTGCACTGGGCACAAGCCTGGCGTGAGGAGTCCCGTCTGGCACAGCAGCCCCTCCTGATGGCCACGCCAAGAGGGGCACAGTGACCGCAGGGCAGGGAGCTGAGTCCTGGGGACTCCCACCACAGGAGGACTCGCCACCTAGCCCCCGCCCGGTGTTACTGGGCGACTCCAGTTGGGGGGGAGGGGCACCCGGGACAGCAGGTGGGGCACAAGTCCCAGAGCAGCACCTGGGGAGAAGATGGCGGGGGTGCGGCCAGCCACGGCCTCCTGGCGCTTCCTGGCGAAGTCTGAGATCTTCCAGACGAACACCCCGTCAAAGGTGGATGCCTCCATCTCCTGGACCTTTTGCTCCAGGTCAGCCATCGCCAGGTCCTTCAGGCCGATGCTCCTCTCCAGCTGCTGCACCTGGGGCGCGGGGAGCCGGGGGACGTGGGGCTGTGGGCCTGCCCAGCTGCTCCATGGACCACCCTCATCTCCAGGAGATCGCTACAAAATCACCCCCCCACCCATCTCTCCTCGTCTCCCCGTGCTCCTGAGGAGTCCCCAAGGCAGCCTCTCAGGTCGGCTCCGTCCCCACGAGACCCCGCCCCATTTGGCCCGGGGTTCGAGGGCTATCCTGCCAGAGTGCAAGGCACATGTCCCACAGCCGGGTCCTGAGCCAGGCCCACTGGTGACCAGGGTCAGGAAGGGCTCTGCGCACAGGCAGAGGCAGCAGTGCCAGAGCCCTGGCTCTGATGGCACCGCCCTGGCCCAGGCACACACCTTGTTACTCAGGGCTTCGATCCTGTCCTGGTCGAGCCGGTGCTGCCGGCCGCAGGCCTCGGCCGTCATGGCCACCCTCTCCACCTCCCGGTTCAGGACGCAGACGATGTTCTCAAAGGTGGCCGTCTTCCTCTCCAAGGCTTCGCACCTCCGCAGGAGCTCTGCAGCCTTGGAGAGCGCCAGCCCCGGGCCCAGTGGGCCAGCCTCCCAGCCGCCTGCCTCGCTGCAGCCCAGGGACAGGTGCTTGGTCTCCAGAAGCGCGCCCAGCATCATGGCCAGGTGCTCGCGGAGCTGCTGCAGTTCATGCTCCTGCTGCTTCTCGCCCTCCACCTGCGGAGACCACACAGGGAGCTTGCTCTCCGCGCCTGCACGCAGCCCTGGCCTGGGGACCCCCGCCCCAGCCTCAGCAGAGCACACAATGCCAGAAAGTGAGGCGATGACACATGCTAGTGACCTTTCCATCCTGCCTGCCTGCCAGCATTTCCCTTGTCGCTGTCGGCAGTCGAGTTTGAGATACAAACCTTCCTGCTAACTCACTGGTTTCTATTTAGAGTAACGGAAGACTACACCGTTAGCAAAGCCCCCACCATGGGGCTGGAGGGAGGGCAATAAAAAAAAGCGCCTTCACATGGCTCAGTGGCTCAGAGCGTCGACCCTGCACCAAGAGGTCACTAGTTCGATTGATTCCCGGTCAGGGCACATGCCCAGGTTGTGGGCCCGATCCCCAGTGGGGGGCGTGCAGGAGGCAGCCAATCGAGTTCTCTCTCATTAATGTTTCTAGCTCTTTCCCTCTCCCTTCCTATAAAATCAATAAAGGGAAAAAAGATAAGCATCGTCAAACAGTCTCTACTACACAGAGCTGACTCCGCAGCCAATTTCTGCCAAACCTCCACAGCATGTTAGAATGTCCGACACGCAACAAATCAACAGGACAAAGGAGCCATGAACCTGCATGTGAGGCGCCCCCGTCCCAGGGAGGGGATCCGTGGCGCCCAGGCAGGAGCCCCAGGCATTCCAGGGAGCCACGGGGCCCACTGGGCACAGAGCACACAGAAAAGCGAGCTGGACCTGGCCAGTTTGGCTCAGTGGTTAGAGCGTCGGCCCTCCGACGGAGTCGCGGGCTCGATTCTAGTCAAGGCTCATACCTCGGTTGCGGTCCATCCCTGGCCCTGGTCAGGGTCAAGCAGGAGGCAACCAGTCGGTGTGTATCTCTCACATGGATGTTTCTCTCTCCCTCCCTCACACTCCATCTGAGATAAATGGTGAGGATTAAAAACAAAAAAGAAAAGCCAGCTACTGCTGTGCGTGGGCCCGAGGTCCAGGGTCAGACCAACGAGATCAGTGTAACTCAAAACCTTAGCCGGAGCCAGAGCCGTAATGTGTCCACGCGGACCACTGAGGCCCTAACAATCCTGCACCAGGAAACAAGGCCGCAGGGACCAGCGCCGAGCCACACAGAAAGCGAGAGAGACAGACTGAAGGGAAGAAGGGCGTGGCCCTGTGCACTGCCTCAGGGAACAGCCCGAGAAGAGCTGCTGGGACACCCACCAGGGAGGAGCAGGCTCCAGGCCTGCTGGGGGCGGGAGGCACAGAATAGTCAGGGAAAGGAGGGCAAGGCCACATGGACAGAGAGGTGTCAGGCAGGAGGGAGATGCACAGAGAGTGGCAGGTGAGCGATGTGCAGAAAGGAGGTGGGTCAAGGTCGTGGGGTGAGAGATCAGTGGGCTGGAGGACAGCCAGGCCAGTGACTATGGCGGAGATGAGGTCACAGGCAGCCAGGGCCCAGGTCACACAGGAAGGGCCATGCAGGCCGCAGAGGTGAGCTGGGGAGGTGGGGGAGGTGGGAAGGCAGGTGGAGCCCCGGACCCGTTTGTGCCTAGGAAGAGTGGAGCATCTTCTGGCTCCCTGGACGTGACATGGGAGACAGAGGGTCCAGGAGGACTGCTGGGCTTTCGGCCAGAATGGCTGGGTGAACCAAGGTGCTCCTCTTGGAAGAGGTGGAGGACTGGCACGTGGCTGAGGTCTGAGATGCCCCAGGGTGTCAGATGTGCAAGGCAGATGGCAGTGGTCAGGGCTGGGGCCACTGGGCGGTGGAGATTAGTGGAAGGGGAGGGGAAGAGCAGCCTGGGGCCTGAGGCTGGGCACCTGAGGGCCAGGCAGTGGAGGACAGGCAGCTGGGCAGGTGGGAGCAAACAAGAGGCCAGTAGGGGTCACTGCAAAGCAGGTTTGGGAAGGGGGCACACGGTGCAGGAGACGGGGACTCCCAAGAGGACCTGGACTCACCATCTCAGGGCAGCCAACGTCACGAAATCGGCAGGGCACTGGGAACTTGCCGCACATCCTGATGTGGTCCTGAAACTAGAAGACCGTGCGTCATGGATGCCGCACTTCTCAGCCGGGTCAGAGTTCACGGGGTCACTGGCCAACCCGACCTTCTTTTTCCATTCTCATCTGACCAAAGCCAACAGCCAACTCTCAGAGCCAATGATGCTCACACGCGCTCACACACCCACACATGCGCGCACACACGCGCTCACACACCCACACACGCACACGCATGCGCTCACACACGCACACACATGCTCAGGGCAGCCATAACGGGGTTGGGTGCAGCCTAGGGGCCAACACTTCAGGGCACCTGTGGAGACCCGGCTCCTCCACCCCAGTCTGTGGGACGCAGCGTGTCTGAGGCCACAGGCCCTGGAGCCAGGAGCCTGGTTTCCAAGGCTGAAAAGAGGAGGAACCAGACACCCATGCTGACCTAGTGTGGTGCCGGCCAGGACAACACTGAGACCCATGGAGCAGAACAGAGACCCGAGAGGGCGGCTGCACACACGCAGCACCTGAACTCAAGAAGGACGCAGACCGACGCTCCCATAGTGGGATGGCCACGGGACACCTAGAAGTGGTCCCTCCTGTGCCATCCACCAGGGACGTGAGAAAACCTGACCTCCAGAGGGGAGACGGCTGCCTCTGACGATCAGCAGCAGCAGGGGAACCTTCACAGGAACTCCCCAAGCAAAACCACCAGCTAGCAAAGGAAAAGGGCAAGTGACGGCGACTCAGTCCCTGACAGAACCCTACACAGAGGACAGACAGACCACAAGCCCCGCCAAGAGCTGGGCAGGTGCGGAGAATTCTTAGTCAGATGAAAGAGAAGCGCCCATGAGCTGGAAGCCAAAGCGCTCAACCACGCTCACAGTCGAGAAATGCAAATCGAGACGACCCGAGACAGTTCTCACCGTCACACGGGTGAGACCCTGAGGTCAGACATGACACTCTGCTGGCAGGTCGGGGACCCAGGTCCTTTGCTGACGGGCACAGGTTTCTGAACTGAGAGGGACAGCCCGGGGCGGGGTCTGAGCTGACAAGCTGCATTCCCCTGACTTCTCAGAATGCCCCCTCTTCCTGGTTTTCACTCTGGAGCCATGTGACCATTTCACAAAACTGCTACAAGACAGTTTCTAAAGTAGCAACTCAGAGGCTCAGAGGCAAAAGAAAGAACTGAGCTGAACGGCAGCCTGTGCCCTCAGACCACACGTGCCGAGACCAGGCAGACCCACCGCCTCCCAGGGGCGGGCTGGGTGCTGCCCGGGATGAGCAGTCGGGCACAGTGAGCCGAGACTGCTTGTCTGCACAGGAACCCAGGAGATAAAGCCTGAGCGGAGTGACCAGGACAGACCCACAGCGTACTGTCCTGACACAGGGCCAGGATTCCCGCCGCCCGTGCTGAACTGGCGCTGTGGGTCGGAGGAGAGGGATGGAGGCGGCAGGCCTGCACCCTCGAACCTCAGGAGTCCCTGGGGTTGTACTGTGTGCTCTACCACTGCCCAAGCTTGTTTGTTTCTGTCACCAAAGTTGAATGGGAAAGGGGCCCAGAGGCGACCTCGACACTCCTCCCCAGGTGCCAGGCGGACCCCATGGCGCGCGGCAGGCCCCTCGCGGCCAAGGCCAAGGCGCCCTCGCAGGTCTGAGGTGCCAGGCGGACCCCATGGCGCGCGGCAGGCCCCTCGCGGCCAAGGCCAAGGCGCCCTCGCAGGTCTGAGGTGCCAGGCGGACCCCATGGCGCGCGGCAGGCCCCTCGCGGCCAAGGCCAAGGCGCCCTCGCAGGTCTGAGGTGCCAGGCGGACCCCATGGCGCGCGGCAGGCCCCTCGCGGCCAAGGCCAAGGCGCCCTCGCAGGTCTGAGGTGCCGGGCGGACCCCATGGCGCGCGGCAGGCCCCTCGCGGCCAAGGCCCAGGCGCCCTCGCAGGTCTGAGGTGCCGGGCGGACCCCATGGCGCGCGGCAGGCCCCTCGCGGCCAAGGCCCAGGCGCCCTCGCAGGTCTGAGGTGCACTCACTGTCTCACGCGGGATCTTCTTCTTGCCGCAGCTGTCGCAGGTCAAGGGGAACTTGGGGCAGACGGCGTGGTGCGCCTTGAAGAGAAGCAGTCAGAGCATCAAGGTGGGCAAAGGACACGCCGGTGCCAGCAGCAGGCCTGGCGCCAGTCACACTGCACTTGGTGTCCCTGTCCTCAGCTCCAGGGGCCCGGGGTCCCCAAGACCCTCCACCTCAGAGATGGTGCTGGACACTGGTGGGTCCTCATCTGGTGGTGCCGGAGCGACATGACAAGGATGAGCCCCTGGCAGTGACTTGGGAGGCGGGAGCACTCGCGGCCCTGACTGAGACAGGGCTGCCCGGGTTGCAGACGGCCGTGCTGGCTGAGGTGGGACAGGCAGGACTTGCTGGGGGCAGACCCGCTGGAACGTCTCTGAGACCCTGCCGATGCTGCAAGGCACCTGGCATCCGCCCAACACGCTGCCCTTGCCAGGCCTCTGTGTCTGACAGTCCATGGGAAAGAAGACGGAGGGACTACTAAGGACACCTCGGGAACACAAGCAGCCAACACAGACTGGCCACCTCTTCAACAAACAGGTGGTGAAGAAAAAACCCCACAGGGAAGCACTGAAGAGGAAGAGAGACCTCGTAGACGTATCTGCTAAATGCAGGTGGGACCGTCTGGGTCCTGGTGCCAATCAGTGACCGTGACAGACATTTCAGACGTGTGACGAGCAATGATAAGGAGTCACCGTCAAGTTCAGACGTGGTGGTGACGGACGCAGAGTTCTGTACAGATAAGGCGGTTTTGGCGCAGTGGTTAGAGCATCAGCCTGCAGGCTGAAGGGTCTCGGGCTCAATTCCGGTCAAGGGCATGTACCTGGGTTGCAGGTTTGATCCCCGGCCCCCACTGGGTCGTGTGGGAGGTGGCCGATCGATGTCTCTCTCTCATTCCCTTCCACTCCATCTAAAAATCATTGGAAAACTACCCTCGGGTAAAAACTAGAAACAAAAACAAGGCACCTGGAAGAATCCTGGAATGCAGCGACATGAAATGTGGGAGGGATCTGGTCCCTGGGAGGCTGGGCTCCGCCTGGCAGGCAACACTGACACAGCCCCGTGCAGGGCGTGACCTGCCTGCCCTTCTGCGTGTGAACTTTTCTAAAATAGAACAGCTTCTTTTTTTATCCTCACCTGAGGACATTTTTCCATTTATTGTTCAGATAGAGTAGGAGGAAGAGAGAGGAAGAGAGAGAGAGAGAGAAACATCGACGTGAAAGGGACACATCGAGTGGCTGCCACCCGCACGACCCAACCAGGGCCGGGGACAAACTGCAACCGAGGTACGTGCCCCTAGCGGGAACCAAACCCGGGTCTGTCCACACAGCAGGCCGATACTCTAACCGCTGAGCCAAACTGGCCAGGGCTAAAACAGCTTCTTAACACGACTCGGCTTTGCCCTGGCCGGTGCAGCTCAGGGTCAGGGCGTCGGCCCGCACACTGAAGGAAGCAGGCTTGCTTCCCGGTCAAGGGCAGCACCTGGCTGCAGGTTCCATCCCAGCCCCGGTCAGGGCGCATGTAGAAAGTAACCAATCCATGTGTCTCTCTCACATCAGTTTCTCTCTCTTCCCCTCCCTTCCACTCTCTCTAAAAAAATTTAAAAATCAATGGAAAAACATCCTTGGGTAAAGATTAAAAAAAAGACTCGGCTTCAACTTCATACCCAACCAAGTTCCCCACCAGGAACCCCCTGCCGCCCACATGGCCCCACAACGGGACGAGTGGCCCCACATCGGGACGGGACGGGACGGGACGGGACGAGTGGCGGGACCTCACCTCCAGGCCGGCCCGGCAGCAGGGGGCGCGGCAGTGCGGGCAGCTGAGGCTCCTCTCGGGGCACTCCTGCTCCAGGTGCCGCTCCTTCTCGCAGAGCCGGACCAGGCCTCTGCACGCCGGGCACTCGGTCAGCACGAACGGGCAGTGTCCTTCGTGGCAGCTCTGGCAGCACAAGGAGCAACGTGTCCAGGGCGCACACAGGACACTGGCAGCCAGGCCACGCCCGTCCGTCGATGCCACCCAGCCGTGGCTCCCACTTCGGTCAGCCCCACAGTGCTGGCGAGGGCCACCACCCCGGTGCTGAGACTCAACATCCCTCCAGGACACCTGCTCCGGGTCAGAGGTCAGGACCAACTCCAGCTGGTGGCACCCCACCCACACCACCACCCCAGAACATCCCTCCCTGCGCCTGACCACGGGGGCACAGGGGGACTGCTCCGAGTGATGTTCAGGGACCACGGACCACTGGCTGGACAGTGAGAGGGGTGGGGACAGGTGCAGAAAGGCAGAAGCAAAGAGAGGGCACCAGAGGGGGGCAGCAGAGCCACGGGCAGCGACACAAGGACCGGTGCGGACTGGTGCTGGGAGCCACGCAGTTCTGCCGAGAGAACTGGAAACCCCACAGGCACCAGGAAGGACAGGTGGGTCCCAGAGCCCAACCAGCCCTGCAGGGCCCTGGGCTGAGCTACAGGACAGAAACTGGAGGCAACTCTTGGGAAAAGTCTGTAATGAATGAGACAGAGAAGAGAGCCGGGGGCAGGGGGCAGGGAGCTGCAGATTTGTTTGCCACTTTTTTTTTCTTTGTTAATCCTCACCCGAGGATTATTTTTTCCATTGATTTTCTAGAGAGTAGAGGGAGGGAGAAAGAAACGTCGATGTGAGAAATATCGATCGGCTATCTCCCACACGTCCTGACCTGGGCTGGGGATCGAACCTGCAACCCAGGAATGAGCCCTTGACCGTAAATTGAACCTGCAGCTCTTATGTGTATGAGCCGACACTCTTACCACTGAGCCACACCGTCCAGGGCTGCTATGTTTCTTTACTGTGGACAAGTACAAACACTGACGGTCCCCACCACGTCCCAGTGCACAAGTCGGTGGCGTCAGGGGCGCTCACTGTGGTGCAGCCGCCATCACCCTCTCCAGGACTGTCCCCCTCCCACCTGACTCTGTCCCAGGAAACACCCGGCCCCCACTGTCCACTTCCTGTCTGTGGATCTGAGTCCTGCAGGACCTCATGAGTGGGGTCACACAGGACTGTCCTTGGGTGCGTAGCCTCTCTACCGAGCATGACGCTAAGTGTCAGGCAGGACTGTCCCTGTGTGCCTAGGGGGTGGGGTGGAGAGAGGGAATGTGCTGGAGGAGGAAGACCCTCCACGGTGGGTCCCACAAGCGCAGGGCAGCTCAGGGCACCCTGCAGAGCACAGACACCATGACCTTGAGAGGCACAAGGGGAGCCCCAGACACTCCAGTCCCACAGCCCCGAGGACATGCACCCACACAGCCGCGTCTCCATCGGGGAGAGCTGGCTGCTGGGACTGAAGTGTGTCACTCAGGAGCAAGCAGCAGTGACAGGTGAACTCGAGACCTGTGTGTGGAGCGTATGGTGCAGGCACTTCAGATGTGGGATCAGTGGTACCCACACCTCCTCACAGGATCCCACCCCACGCACCCCCGGAGCAAGCATCCTGTCCCCTGGACCCCCTACCAGGACACACACAGACCAAACACTGACCTCCCAGAAAGCCTCCCTGGTGACCCGGCGGCAGCCTGACGGGCAAGTGGATGAAGGCAGGCGAGGCAGGGATGGGACTGGGCTGGACTCCCCGCTGCTGCAGCTGCTCAAGGGGAGACCTGGCTCCCTGCACCCTGCTCCACCTCCCCAGGAAGCACCCTCCCCCGCCCCGCACTCCACAGCCTCCTCCAAGCTCAGCCCCACAGCACATCCTGCACCCCCCGTGCACCAGGTCTCGGGCTGTGGATCTGCCTGCCCTGCTGGCACTGAGGCAGGGCCCGGCCTGGGCCACGCTGAGTGCATCAAGTAGCCCCTCCGAACCAGAGGGGCCTCAGCAGAGATCTGGGCACAGCACTCCCGGTCAGGGGGACCCTGAAGAGTGTGCTCTCAGCAGATAAGCTCCTCGGAGGGACATGGGCAGACTGAAAGGACCCTGGAGAGTCTGCACAGGGACAAGAGCGCATGGCTATCGTGGGCTGCACTGCCCACGACCCCCGGCCCGTGTCTGCAGCAGGGACACTGCACCACCACCGCACAGGCCAGAACAGGCTCCGTCAGCTCCACCCAGGAGACCTTCAGAGAGAAGCACACACATCAGAGAAAGTAACGTTTATTCAACCAGAATTCCAGCTAGATGTTTAAGCAAACAGCAGAGAGGGAGCACACCCAGCTCTGCCTCCCTCCAGCTGCGGCTCTCCGCCAGCCGTGTCCTCTCTCGGCCCCGCCTCACTCCCGGCAGCCGGTGTGTAGGTCAGCGCCACGGCAAGCGCCCAGCAGGCTCCACAAACACCTCGCTGAGCTCTCAGAAAATACTAGACATCGTTGCAGAGGAGAAGCATTCAAAGGCCAAACAAGGTTCCCTCATCTTTCCACACTCGTCTGTGCCGCGGTGTGAGCATCTCACAAAGCCACCCCAATTCTGAGCAGCCCCAAGGACAACCGAGCCAGCTCAGAGGTGACAGCAGGGCTCCAGCTGTGGCAGAGGCAGGGGCACCTGTGCATGGAGACCCACAGCGCTTACACCAGGAGAGGCCTCGTCAATATACCAAAGGCCACGGCCAGCGAGTGTCCCAGAGCAGCACCACCTCCCACATGACCACACCCAGCTCTCGGGGACTTTCCGGAGCTTGGGGGCAGCCAGGGACTTTCCAGTCTGCATGCCTGCCGGCCGTGGCAGGAGCCCAGGGCTGGCTTCGGTCCCTGCTCTCAGCTAGAGACCCGAGAAGCCACTGCCCACACCACAGGCCTGGAGGTGGCAGAAACCCCAGAGGAATCAGGAGTGGGGTTAGTCCACCTGTCCCCAGGCATCTCAGTCCTCTCCGAAGGCAGCACAGTGCCCCATGCCCCACATGGCCCGCCCTCCCAGGAGAGACCTGATACTGAGGGCCCTCTGGACACCCGGGCAGTAACAGCCACAGGACAGTAACATCCGCAGGGTCAGGCACAAAACAGCACTTGTCTGTGCAGGTGCGGCAGGCACAGAGGCCTCTGGGCAACCAGGGCAGAAGGCTCTCCCTCCCAAAAGGGCACAGGAGGGTGCGGGGAGGTCTGAGCTGTCCGCCAGGCCCCGGCACATCTCGTCCACCCCCAGAAGCCCCTCCCCAGACACGGCCCTGCTGCTCCTCTGGCAGAACAGCACAGCTGGGAGCCTGAAGACCGTGAGGCAGGACCGTCCAGGGAGCGTGCGCAGTGCAGTGCACTGACCGAGAGCAGAAGGGAGAGGCCGCCAGGAACCCAGGGTCCCGATGGAGACCTGATGGCCAACACACAACTTCCCCCGCTGCTGTCCACTGCCCAGGTGGCTCCATCCCAGCCCAGCCTGTGGCCCAGGAAGCTCACCTAACAAACAGCCCCCAGACTCACCAACTGGGGCCGCACTGGTGGCACCAAGGCCTCACCACTCCAGAGCACAGCCTGCCACCCTACCCCGCTGACTACACCCTCCCCCAGTCCCTAGCCACCACCACTGCACTTCTTGTCTATGACTCGGCCTCGTCCAGGGACCTACCTCATGGGTGTGGGATTCTATGAGATCTATCCTTCTGTGTCTGGCTCATCCTACCGACCACAACGTCCTCTAGGTCTGTCCACACTGTAACCTGATTCCCTTCCTCTTTATGGCTGAATAATGTTCCATGGTTTGGACACGCCACATAGGCTGGTGGGCATTTGGCCACTGTGACCCTTGTGTACAAGTAACCACCTGAGCCCTGGCCAGTTTGGCTCAGCGGTTCGGCCCGTGGACCGGAGAGTCCAGGTTCGGTTCCTGCTGAGGGCATGTACCTCGGTTGCAGTTTGTCCCTGGCCCTGGTTGGGGTCGTGTGGGTGGCGACCACTCAGTGTGTCTCTCTCGCATCAATGTTTCTCTCTCTCTCTCTCTTCCTCCCCTCTACCTGAAGATAAGTACAAAAAAAAGTCCTCGGGTGAGAATTAAAAAAAAAGCCACCTGAGGTGTCACCGTAAAGGGCATTCACTGAGAGAGGTGACCAGATACCTGGACGAGCTCCGGTACCTCTCAGCCTCCATGCCCATCAAACAGAAACCCCTATGTGCTGACGCTGGGACACAACCACCTCACCTGGCACAGACAGGCCACTGCCCACCACAGGCCAGGTGCCATTCTGTGACCCAGGACAAATGTGCACATGACTTCTGCAATTCCCAATGTCAACACAATTCAAAGTGAGAAAGCGCTGTCTGAGGATCCGACAGAGAAGCCCACCCAGCGAGAAAGCTGGCTGATTGCACACGCCGGACAGCTCTCGGGGGGCACAGGCCCTCCGCCCCTACTCCCCAGAGACAGGAAACTGAGGCCACGCCTCCACGGAGCGGCTCTGTGTGACTGGTATCCAAGAGGGCACATCGGAAGTGCCAGCTGACCCCTCACAGACACGGACAGGTAAGCCCAGCAGGCGCCATGCGGGCTCCAGCACTGCAGAGAGTGGGAAGGGACGTCCCCGGGTGCTGCCGGCACAGGCAGGCCCTACCTCATACTCTTTGAGGGTCCCCTTCCAGGTGCAGCCGTCGCTGGGGCAGACGGCTGGCAGGCTCTCCACCTCCCTGCGGGCAGCATTGTCTGGGAAAGCCTGGGGAGAGAGCAGCGTGGTGAAGCCCCAGCCCGCGGCTGCCCACGGGACCTGTCCTCTGCAGGGAGCCTGTCCGCACCGGACGCCAGCGCGGCAGCAGGGCCATTTCTGGCTGCTGAAGCCAGCCACCCTTGGTGTTGTGAAGAAAACGCAAAATGTTTTCTGTTCGTTTTGACATTTCTGCCTCAAGACCCCACTTACCGAGCTGCTCTCTAAAATCGAGACGCCCTCTTCGTATATGCCTTCGTGCACGCAGGCGGCGCAGTTCTGAGGCCCGGAGCTGGGGGAGGGTGGTGCCGCGTGAGGCCTCCGAGCGCTCTGCGTCCCCACGCCAGAGACGAGCACACGTCCACGTGATGTCACGTTCAGAACGGTGAGAGGTGCTCCTCTGACGGTCCCCCAGCGTCACTGAGGCGCTCCCACTCAGAGACCAGAACAGGTCGCCCAGCTCACGCGCCAGCGGCCCGCCCGTGCCCAGGCCCCACTCGGACTGGCCCGGCAGGCCCCGCGCAGGGGCTCAGCAGGCCTGCGATCTGAGCAGCGTGCCTGACACGCCAGCGCGGCACTTTAAACGGTCTGCGCATCAGTGCCAGGAGTCCAGGAGAAACTGCCCTCAGCAAGGCACGCTTATGCCCCACACCACACAGGGCGCGTCAGCCGGGACCCATCGTCACACTCAACTCCGCTCCCGTGTGCAGGGAGCCCGTGCCGTCAGCGAGGGATCACCTGTGGCACAGCCTGCCCGAGCCACCCCTGGCCAGCGCGGCCCTGCGGCCAACCCCAGCCGCTGCCCAGCACCAGCCGCCCGCCCGCATACCTGAGGATGCCACTCAGACAGAACGAGCAGTAGCGGTGGCCGCACTGTGCCTGGAAGGGCCTGCGCAGGACATTCTTACAGGCTGAGCACAGGTACTTGTCCTCCAGCTTGGTCCCCAGGAGGGTCTTGGAGAAGCCGGGCTGCAGCACGTCTAGGGAGCCAGGAGGGGTCACGCTGGCTGCCGCCATGGGAGCCGCGTCCCCCGAGAACGCCAGGCCCTGGGGAAGAACAGAGTGCATCAGGGCGGTCGGGCGCTAAGCTGTCAAGCCGACTGGTGGCCGTGCGTCTGGGAAGCACGGCCTGAGCACCCTGGAAAGCCTGGGAGACCGTACATTCTGAGCTCCTGTCACAAACAGGAAAACCAAGGCTTGGCCAGGGTGGCCACCTGCCCACACCGCAGCCCCAAGGCCAGTGGGCTGTCCTAACATCACCAGCCTGTGTCCGAGCATGGAGGATGCCACCTTCCTGCTACCACTAGTGATTAACAGTCCTCCGTGTCCTGAAACTCTACAGTGAGTATGACGCTGTATGGCGGACGGCCTCTACCATGGGTCTCACATCAGCCTGGCAGCACCCGGGAGGTGGCACACCACTCAGCAGCCTCTCCCACATCGGCTTGGTGCCACCACAGGCCCTCTCACTTCAGGCCCACCCTCTGCCATCAGCAGCCTTGGCAAGGCCCCCAAGGCGAGGCGAGCAGGATGGTGATGGGGCTGGGGGCGTCCCACAGCGCTGAGATTTGGAACCTCACATGGAAGTCACTGTTCAATGCCCACAATTTCAAAAAGCCAAAGAAATTGTACCTGTTAGGTTAGAACATCGGACCACACACCAAAGGGTCATGGGTTCGATTTCTGGTCAAGGGAACATACCTGGGTTGCAGGTTTGATTCCAGCCCTGGTCACGGTCTTGCAGGAGGCAACTAATTAGTGTGTCTCTCACATCGATGCTTCTCTTCCCACGCCATCCCTCCCTTCCACTCTCTCTAAAAATCAATGGAAAAAATATCCTCGGGTGAGGATTAAAAGAAAAGGGCCGAGTGCCCAGGAGCCCTGAACCGAGCACTGTCCCTTCAGGCAGGCCCCTGGCCCAGGAAAACCGCCGGTCCTCTGCAAGCACTGACGAGCCTTCCTTCCCGCACCTGGAACGCCCACGACGTTGTGAAACGACGCGTTTCCAGGAGCCGGGTCTGCACAGGGCAGTGATGACACCTGAGGCTGTCTCGCGGCCCCACGTTGGCCTCATGCCACAGGAAACAGCGACAGGCGGGGGCTGTTGGGCAAAGCCACCCTGAGTCTTGGCAAGTGGACTTGGCACGGACGAGGCCTCACACCTGATGGCACTCCACAGCTCACGGACTTTGACAGCCTACACTTACTCGCCCAATCACCTGGCACATGCTGTGCCCAAGGTCACTCAGCACAAGGGCACACTTGTCTCTTGCTCACTCACTCACAGGTCCACCTGCAGTCTGCACACGGGGCCGCCTGGGACCCCAGTGGACCCTCTCATCCCTCTGACGACCAGGCGACCTCCTCCTTCCCAGCCTGTGTGGCACAGGGAGCACTAGAGAAGGTGGCCCTCAAAAAGAAAACCTTTTGCCCTGGCCACTGTGGCTCAGCGGTAGAGCGTCACCCCACAGTACCAATGAGTCCTGGGTTCAATTCGGCCAAGGGCACGGACCTTGGTTGCGGTTCATCCCCGGCCCTGGTCGGGTCTCACAGAGTCAAGCAGTCGATGTCTCTCTCTCACATCAATGTTTCTCTCTCTCCCCCTCCCTCCCACTTAGATTATCTGAAGATAAACAGAAAAACGTCCCTGAATGAAGAATGAACAATAAAATAAAATAAAAACTCTAAGTCCTGCTGCCCATGAGCACTGACCAGGGCACCGGAGAGGGAGGACCCGCAGCCACCCCCCGGAGCCAGGCACCCAGGGCAGTGCTTGCAGGACAGGCCCTCCACCTGTCTGTCTACTGCTTTTCCGGCCACACCGCCACAGCGATTCCGTGAACTGCTTGTGGTTTGAAGTCACGGCTCTAAACTAATTAGACGCAGGGATTTTAAATATCACTAGAAAAAAAAGGCCACATTCTTCAGGTCAAATTTGACCCTGGTCAGGGTGTTTTCTACGGAAACAGGTGAACAGAAGGAAGGTGGCTGGCCCAGCAGAATGGCTTCTCACAGCGTCTGTCGGACGGAGCTCTCTTCTTCTAGTCGACACCCCACCCGCACGCAGCCAGGCCTGGCTTTCTGGTCGACTAACCACAGCTCCTGTGACAGACTGAACCCACCGTACAAATCCATTGAGTTTGACTCCTATTAGACACAAAAACGCTGACCTTTTTCACTGATAAAAATGGGGAAAGGCCCCAACACACAGCTAGGCCTGGACCTCTCTGTCCATTCCTGTCTACTTAGCAGTCACAGCGCCCTGCCACACGAAGGGGGTCAGAGCTCACCCGTGCTCCCGCTTTATTTTCCAACCCCCGACTCTGAGGTAAGTGGTCAAAAACGAGAACTGTAAACTCTGTCCACGTGCAGGGACTCCCACACGGCCATGCGATTTCCACTCACACCTTCCCCGAGACGGGCTCCCACGCACTCCCCACGGCAGCCTCCTTTGCTAGGGGCATTTCCACGAGGCGCAAAGCAGCGCTCACAGAGCAACTTCAGTCCTGCGGCGTCAAGGTCAGGCAGGGCCAACCTATGATGAAGGACGCTGGGACAGCAGTTACTTTGGCGGTGCGATCTGTGATATAATGGACGTTTGTCTGGTCTTCTTCCCAGATCCTGGCACAGAGCTCCCCAAACCCCTGGGATATCCTGAGTGATGGGGACCGAGCAGTATCTTTTGTTAGTCACAAGCCCCTTGCACCACCAGCACACCCCAACTCCAGGGACGGGAGAGGGACTGCAGATGGACTTAATTGCTGATGGCCGCTGAGTGGACCAGTCATGCTTCAAGATGGATCCCCCATAAAAACCCCACAGGACAGGGTTCAGAGAGCTTCTGGGTGGAGGAACACATCTTGGTGCGGGGAGGGCGGCACGCTGGAGAGGACCCGGAGCCTTCCCCCACCCCCGCCCCCGCACATCTCCCATGCGGCTGTCACTCGGCGTTTCCCTGCAGAAGCTCTGGACACTGCTGTGTGACCAAAGGGTGTGCATGGCTTAGTGGGGTCAGTGAATGACTCTCCCAAGAGCAGGTTGTATAATTACAACAATCCAGTGTTGCCCAGACTGACATCAGATCAGACAGCGGAGCACCAGACTGCTGGGGACACAGTGCCAACAGACCCGGGTTCGGTTTCCAGAGGGCCCTCGACACACAACTGGGACTCTTGCTCCGCCCTCAGACCCCCAAGGCTTCCCCAACTCCACCTGCCCTCCCTGCTTCTCAGGAAGACCTTCCTGATAACCCCATTAAAACTGCACTGTGGGCCCTGGCCAGTTTGGCTCGGCGGTTAGAGCATCGGCCTGCAGTTTGTCCCCAGCCCTCGTTGGGTCGTGCAGGAGGCAGCCACTCAATGTATCCCCTTCACGTCGATGTTTCTCTCTCTGTCTCTTCCTCTCTCTCCCTCCCACTCTATCTGAACAAAAAATGGAAAAACATCCTCCGGTGAGGATGAAAAAAAAAAACAAACCACTGTGCCTGGCTGGTGTGGCTCAGTTGGCTGAGCACTGCCCCATGCACCAAAAGGTCGCTGGTTTGATTCCCAGTCAGGGCACATGCCTGGGTTTCAGGCTCAGTACTCGGTAGGGGATATGTCGGAGGCAGCCAATCGATATTTCTCTCACGTTGATGTTTCTCTATTTCTATCCCTTCCTCTCTCTAAAATCAAATTTAGAAGAAATATATATTAGAGAAAGAAAATGGCATTGTGCCGCCTCCCTCCTGCAGTGCACAGCTCACCACCACACCGCCCTCTGGTCTTCTTGGTGTCACGGGCTGTCCCTCTAGAACATAAGCGCCAGGAGGCAGGGACTGCAGGGGGAAAGGGACCCAGCCCTGTGCAGCGGGTATACGAGTGCCCTCCCTGCTCCCCAGGCTCCCAGCCATGCGCTCTGACTGCTACACCCACTAATCCACACCACTGGCCCTGGTCCAAAACGGGGCACCCCACTCCTGGAACCTGTGCTATCCATTCCTTCTACCTGAGTCACCCCTCTACTCCACCTCCTACCCCACCCCCACTGTGTACTCGCCTCTTTAAATCACAACCAGTCTTTGGGATACCAGCCTCAAATGCCACCTCCACCCTTGCAGGGCATGTGGTCTCCACCCTGCTCCTACTCGAAGCTGGACACATCTCAGCTCAGACCCTGGACAGCTTCTGCTGAGCCTGCCTCTGCCCTGCCCAGACTATGCCCTCTGGACAGGGGTGGGGCACCGTGGTGGCACAGTAACACGCCCTCCCTGCGGACACACGTCTGGCACTTAGGGACGACCGGAGCATCCAGCACAGGCCTGGACTCGTGGGGCCTATGAATATTTTTTTCTGGATTTCCCTCCCAGGACCTTCCTGTGCTTCCCTGTTGTTGCTGTGTGGAAACCCACCTGCCAGGCCACACTCAGTGCACCAGCTGCTGGTGGGCAGGTGGGCAGGCAGGCTAGTGTTTCCACCGAGGGGGGTGCAAACCTGATCAAACCACAAGGTGAAAAGGCCTCTTCTTCCCAAAGAAAGTGCTTTCTCCAGCAACACGTGATCACTGCAAATCCTGTGCTCTAGCCCCCACCTACTGTTGAAACAACATATTCCTTCAGGTCCCCAGAGGAATGACATTTGGCCTTGTTTCCCCAGTAAGTTTAGAAAGTGTTACGAGAGAACCCAGCTGAAAGCCCCTCCTCCACACCCCGGCAGCAGGCAGAGGCACCAGCGTGGCCTGCACACCGCTCACTGCTCGCCTGGGACGTTCCCAGCTCCTGCCATGACCACATGTGGTGCTGGGGAAATGGCATTACTACCAACGGCGTGGACAGGACCACACTGCACAATACAGCCTCAGGTGGCAGAGGTCGGGGCACAGGGGGACACAGAAAGGGCATGTCAGAAGGCACATTCAAGGCTGTCCCAGGCAAAAGGACCACCAGGCACAGAGCCAAGGCCCACATCACAGCAAGTGCCTGGGTAGCTGCGGCCTCAGGGGGCTGAGAGGGGCTGGGGCTGGAGACAGACAGCTTCTGCTGCTGGGGCAAGACTAAGAAAAGCAGCTCAGCCCGGCTGCTGTGGCTCAGGGGTTGCGCATCAACCCATCATGCACCAAGAGGTCGCCAGTTCGATTCCCAGTCAGGGCACATGCCCAGGTTGTGGGCCAAATCCCCAGTCGGGGGGTATGCTGGATGTGACCAACCGATGTTCTCTCTCATCGATGTTTCTCTCTCTCTCTCCTTCCCTCCTGCTCTCTAAAAATCAAAGGAAGGGTATCCTTGGTTGAAGACTAACAAATAAACACAGAAAGAAAAGTTCTTAGTAGTTTGTCCAATGCAAAACAATAATAAATTTTGTGGTATGTAAATTACACTGCAATGAAACTGTTTAAAAAATAAAAAGCAGCCCTGGCCGGTTTGGCTCAGCGGTAAGAGCGTCGGCCTGCGGTCCTGAGAGACCCGGGTTCGGTTCCCGCTAAGGGCATGTACCTCGGTTGCAGTTTGTCCCCGGCCCTGGTCGGTCGTGCGGGTGGCAGCCACTTGATGTGTCCCTTTCACGTCGATGTTTCTCTCTCTCTCTCTGTTCCTCTCTCTCCCCCCTCCACTCTACCTGAACAAAAAATGGAAAAATGTCCTCGGGTGAGGATAAAAAAATAAATAAATAAATAAATAAAAAGCAGCCTGGCCCGTGTGGCTCAGTGGATTGAGGTCGTCCCATGGACTGAGAGGTCCTGGTTCGATTCCCGGTCAGGGCACGGCCGGGTTCGGGGCTCCATCTCCAGTTGGGGGCGTGCAGGCGGCAGCCGATTACGTTTCTCTCTCACGTAGATGTTCCCATCTCTCCCTCCCTTCCTCTCTCTCGGGGGAAAACAATTAATGAAAAACCCCTCAAGCAAGACTTCGGAGCTGGCTGGGCCGTCCACCGACACCTGTAACAGTAGCTAAACCTCGCCGTTCTCGGTGACCAGCGGCCCTGTGCGCCCAGGGCGGGAGCCAGGGCCGGCACGCCCCCCCTCCTGAGCAGCTGTCCGGGGACGTCCACTGTCACGGTCAGTGATGACCCCACTCCGGGCTCCGGCGCCGGGGAGCTGCCTCCACTCCGGACCCCCGCGCGGACGCCCGAGCCAGCCCACTGCACGCCCGCACCACCACCGCCGGCTCGTTCTCATCCTGGGACCCGCACCAGGCTCCCGGAGGCCCAGAGCGAGCGCACCCGGCCCCCCCATCCCGGCCCGGGCTCAGGCCCCCGGGGCAGGGGTGGGGCTGCGGGCGGGTCTCGGGCACCCTGACAGCTCCCTCGTGTCCACCGACACAGGAGCGCTCCCGGAACGGCGCACGGGGGGCTGAGGCGGGGGCCGGGGCGCGCAGGGGAAGGAGTCGGGGCGCGGGCTGAGCGGCCAGCGCGGGAGGCGCGGGCAGGGGCACCGGGGGGCCCTCCAGACGGGCTGCGGGGGCGGCCAGGGAGAAAAGGCGGCCCCGCAGGTGCCCCGACGCCCGGGAGCCCGTCCACAGCGCGACCGGTCGGGAAGCCCTCTGCGGGCAGGAAGCGGGCCACGGGGAGGGCAGCCCGCCGCTGGGTCGGGAGAGCCGGGCCAGACGCCCAGGCCGCGGCGCCGGGGACGAGGGCGCGCCGCCGGCCCGGGCCCGGGCCCTGCACCGTGAGCCCGCGCTGCGGACCCCGGGCCGGGACCCCGGGCCGTGGACCCCCGCCGGCGCCCGCGGGCGTTCGCGAACTTTCCTGCGCCGGCCGCGCTCCGACTTTCAGTTTCCGGTTCCCCGCCCCGAAAAATCCCCTCCGGCCAGGGGGCGGCGGCCAACCTGCCAACCTGCCTCCCTGCCCGGCCTTCACGGCGCGGCGCGCCCCAGCCCGGACCCGGACTTCGGACCCCGACGTCGACCCCCGCGGCTCCACTCACCAACGGTTACCGTGCGCCCCGAACTGCACGCCCGCCCAGCCGCTGCCGCCGCCGCCGCCGCCGCGGGCCCGCCCCCGAGCCCTCCTGAAGGACCGACACAAGAGCCTACCAGGAGCGCGCAGGAAGCCTCAGCGGGCGCCGATTGGTCCCATTTCCCCTCCTCGTTCCCGCCCTCCTGACGGACTGACGCGAGAGCCTACCAAGAGCAAGCAGGAGCCGCAGCGGGCGTCGATTGGTTGCAGCCGCCGCGACGTAAGTACTTCATTCATTCACCTCCCGGGTTTCCCCCAGTGGAGCCTGCTGGACGCCCTCGTGGCTCTGTGGGTTCTGTGTCCGTGGAGCGCCGTGCGCCGAGAGAGGACGGGATCCCAGAGCAAAGCCTTCGCTGCTTCTCACCTCCCAAGAACCTGGCCGGTGTCCACGAAGGGTCAATCAAGCCCAGGCCGAGGGCACTGCGGCGGCGGCTTCGCCTCCCCAGTTCCCGGCTCAGAGCAGGGCCCTAGCGTGAGTTACGTTCTTAAGAAAGAGCAGGAAAAGGCCCGGCTCACTTAAAGGGTGCAAGGCACCCTGGCCAGTTTGGCCCAGCAGTTAGAGCGTCGGCCTGCGGTCCAGAGAGACCGGGGTTCGGTTCCTGCTCAGGGCCTGTATCTTGGTTGCAGTTTGTCCCCAGTCCTGGTTGGGTCGTGGGGAGGGCAGCCACTCGATGTGTCCCTTTCACGTTGATGTTTCTCTCTCTCTCTCTCTCTCTCCCTCCCACTCTATCTGAACAAAAAATGGAAAAATATCCTCGGAGGAGGATAATAAAAAAATAAAGGATGTGAAGGCGACGAAGTCTCCTCTGGTAGTTCAGTGTCCTAGAACTAGACAGTGGTGATGGTTGCCCGGCATTACGAATGTACAAATGGTACGGTTTCAATGGTGAATTTTAGGTTATGTGAATTTTACTACCAATAAAGCAAAACAAGGTACAAACCACGGCCTGCAGACACATGGAAATGTGGAGCATGCAAATGGAAACCTCTGGAAACAAGGTAGTGGTCTTGGCCAGAAAAATAAAAAAAGGAGCAGCGCTGGGAAGGCAGAGTGTTGTCCTGAGGCTAGTCCGTTTCGTGCCAAGGGAGAGTCGGGACCAAATGGACGCTCTCTCATGGAGCGTAGGCTTTGCTAAGTATCCGACAGCATCTCGTCTCACAACAGCGTTGGAAGAGGGGGACTGCGCTCTTCATTTTGCAGAAGAAAACAAAAAAAAGGAAGCTCAGAGAGGTAAGATTCCTTACCCCAGGTCACACAGCACATCCAGCACCTCCACTCCCAGGGATCATCTGAAGCAACTGCACAGGCGACCTTGAAGTTACCTTATGTGAACAGTCTACATGCATCAGAAGTGCTTGTGTCACTCGGCATAAGTCATCGCTTGGTTTGCCGTCGGAATTCCCCAACCCAAAACACTACGTCCCTGGGAGACAGTAGCCAGGTGACCCTACCTCTGATACAAGTTCCAGGAACTCAAGGCTAAGTTGGCCACAACAGCCGTGGAAACCTGCCGCCCCTCGGCTGTGTGAGCTCTCAGGTGTTTTAGAGTTTGTCCTCCCAGCCGCTGTGAACCCACCAGCAACCCTGCAGGAAATCGTTCTGGTTGTAAAGAGGGTCAGCTGCAGCAGCACACCTGCTTCCTCCCGGGGAAAATCAGGAAATCCTCCGCCTCCCTTCTGCAGCGATTCCCGGGAATGTCACTCCTCCAGATCCCGGATCCTGCAGAAGCACTGACCGGAGCCACCTCAGCCTGCCCCGCATGGAGATTTCCTGAGCAAGGTCTTCCTCCTGGGAAAGCAGCCAATCCCAAAGGACTTGCCAGCGCTTCTAGCATGAAAATGCCTTTGCTTATGGTAAACATTGCTGCTTTTACAGGATATTCACTCACGCGCACATTTTCTTTTTAAGTTGACTCTGATGACAGGCTTGCGAGACCAGCAGAGTTGAGAACAGAGGGAGAGGGAGCCTCCTCTGTGTAAGGGCCCTGACCAGGAAGTGGCCCACCCGCCCCCGCCTGTCAGCTCTGAAAGGGTGACATCTCTGACCTGGCAGGCTGGAAAGGGATGACTCACCCTGGTCCTTGGGCAGCTCAGGGGATTCCCAGTCAGGTTCCTTCCTGCCAAAAAGAAAGCGAAACTCAGACAGCCTGCAGCCATGTCGGGGAGGATCCAGGAGGCACCTGGGACAGCCTGTGCAGCCCCCTGGAGGGGGCCAGGGCCAGGGTCTCAGGTCCGTAAAGGGCACAGAGGGTCAGCTCTCCTGGGCCTCAGTGCTCCCCCAGGAGACAGGTGTGGGCCTGGCTGCAGATCAGGGTCCAGTCTTTGTGGATGTCTGTTGCCTGCAGTCTTGGCAGGGGCAAGAGAGGCCCCATCAGCTGCCCACTGGGTGAGCAGACCACAGTGGGAGGTGGGCTACCACTGCCACCTACTCTGCCTAAAGGCAAGCAGCTTGCCCCTTCTCCCACCTCTGACAGCCACCCTGCCTCCTTGGTTTTTCTTTCTCACCTTGGCATCTGCACTGACAGGCATGGCCAGTCCCCTCAAAAGGCCCTCACCTCACATCCTTTACTCACTCAGGCTTTGGGAGGACACACCAGCTTGCACACAGGACCAGGAGGCAGGCAGGGTGACCTGGGCCCCTGCTCAGGACTTGAACATGGGATGCCCCGCATGTGCCCCTTGGGCTGTCCCCAAAGCCTCCCAAAGTGGAGCCACTTCACCAAAAACAACCTAGTTCTCTGCCTGAAAGCTCTCCCCGTCTTCTCATCTTTCAGACCTTTTACGGTCAGCCCCTGGCAGCAGCTTCTGAAAGGAGCCGGTTTCATTCTAACTCTACTGTCATCTGAGGGACACGCTTCCAGAGGGGCCAGCGCTGCACCAGAATTCCCCTGCACCCGTGCCAGCCAGGAGGGGCTCCCCCTCCGCACCGCCCCTCAAAGTGCACAGCCAGTCCTTCCCTCCCCCAGACAACCCCTGGGGGAAGGAGACACAGGGTGGGCCGCGCCACCCCAACAGCACCAGGAGGTCACCCAGAACCGCAGGGAGGAAAAGAGGCCCACGTGAGAAGGGTCTGCCTGGGGCCAGCTTGCTGGCAATGGAGCCCAGCAGGGGAAAGCACAGGGCACACAGAGCTGGGAAGGACAGTTTCACATCCATGTGCATTTTCTGTAGAACTGAGAAGGACACACAGTGATCAAAGTAGGGGGCCATGCCCAGCCAGTGTGGCTCAGTGGTTGAGCATTGACCCTGCACCAAGAGGTTGCCGGTTCGATTCCCGGTCAGAGCACATGCCCAGGTTATGGGCCCAATCCCCAGTGGGGGGCGTGCAGGAGGCGGCCAGTCGATGTTCTCTCTCATCCATGTTTCTATCTCTCTCTCCCTCTCTCTCTCTAAAATCAATTTTTTAAAAAAGTAGGAGGACATGTCTGCTGTTCACCATCTCACACTTTTTAAAACCACTGATGATATTACCTACTCAAACCACATTTGTGTTTGAAGAGCAGGTGGTCACTTCGGAAGCTCTGGAAAATGCAGAAGTACCAAGAAGAAAGGGAAGATCACCCCAAATTCCCTCACCCGCAGACACGCTTGGCCAGGGTTCCATACGAACTTTAACACGCCCCTCCCTTCAGACAACCTCAGAACACAAATGCCGGCCCACACCCAAGGCCAGGCAACAACCTCACACGCAGAACTGAAGGTGTCCAGGCCCGTCTGTCCCCACCTCTGCTGCAGAGGCCTGGCCACAGGGCCTTCACACCAGCCAGGCCCTCGCCTGGACCAGTCCCTCTCTCCCCCAGGAGCCTCTGGGGAGACAGACAGTCTCACTTCAATGGCCCGGTGTTGAGGGGTTCCCCCACTTGCCCCAGGTGACTTGAATCTGATTGTATGCCTGTGCCCTTCCCTAGACGTGGGTCCCTGGAGAGCAGCGGCCTCTCGGGCCTCATTTGGGGCCCATTCTGGGCTCGTCCTCATTGGATGGAGAAAGGCCGAGTGGATGCCAGCAGCTGGACAGAGTTCAGGCCCCCGGCCGCCTTCGCAGCCTGCCCCACCGCCCTCCCCGCACCCCTCCGGGGCGCAGTGGCGGGTCCGCGCGCGCCATCTCCCGGCTGAGGAAGGAACTGCGGAGACCCGAGGTTTGCACCACGTACCTGCTCCCTTTGAACACCTCACTCTGACTTCCTCGACCTCAGTTTGAACCCACAAACCTTGAGACTGCTCAGCTCACACTCAGAGTCAGCCAGCGAGATCACCTGACCAAGGTCCGCAGCCCGGTGTCCGGGAGGCTCCAGGTGCCCTCCAAGGGTGTCCCCTGCACCCTGCCGCAGCGGGAACTCCCTGGCCCACCATTTCCACCCTCCATAGCGTGCTTCAGCCCAACTGGGACCCCTGACCCTCTGACCGACCCTGCCCCCTGCCCACCGCCCTTCCTTGCTTCCCCAGACCAGGCCCGAACCTGTCTTCTGTGGCCCGGGGTGCGCCGAGAAGCCGGTGACTCTCCTCCTCCTTCCATCCACCCGCTCACCTCGTCCTCACTTGAGGCTAGAGACGGATCCTTGTCAACACCCTGTCCACAGGGCGGACAATGACCAGAAAGGAAAAGCGAGCCCTGAACGTGTTCTTGTAGTGAGCGTCACCAACACAACCCTGCCAGTGGAAAGGAAAACCCTTCAACACGTAGAAGAGGGACACATGGTGGACCCAGCCTTCGCTGCAGTCACTTGTGTTTTCAAAAACAAGGGGAATACTTACATACCGACACATCGGTTTTTCTCAGGAACGAAGCACATTATAACGTGGTTTGTTTTCGTGTCTTAATGTCTGCAAAGTAGGCAGTGGTCAGTGGTTTTGTCACAGTTGATCTTCTTCTCGTCCTGCTCAGTAGACAGTCCAGCCGTATTTGTCCATCTATTTTCATTCATAGTTGACCTAAGAACCCTTTTTATTATCCTTAAATTTCGTAATTTTCTTTCACTTGAAGCCACAGATACACAAAGTTAGGAAGAATTTGTTTTCTTCT